GTGCGTGGTCTAGATCTGTGTGTACCTGTGCTGTTCCTTGCAATGCCCTGGTGTGCATGAAAATCCACCTCACACGCTCACATTTGTGCACCTAAGGTGTGGGTTCTCCTCCCTTGCTGCACCCTGTACTGCCCAGCTCCTTGCTGAAGTGCAGGACCTTGCATCCTCCAGGAGGGTTTCTGTACTGTTCATCCTGGACAGATATGATGCAGTCAGTGGGGTGACTCGGGCAGTGTCAAACCAGATTTTGACTGATGCTGTTTCCTTTCCAAGGTCTCTCCCACTGATACTGATTTTTTTATATACTTCTTTTCAAGAGGACTCCTTTGTTTCAAACATTTCTTTCCAAGTCCCTAGTTATTGTTTAATCTAACTGATGATCCTCTTGCTATTCAAGATGAACAGTTCTGGGCAAATATCATGTCAGACAATTTTGCATATTTGATTCACACACACACAAAATTTCTTATCTTCATATTTGTTATTATCCAGACCCTTTTGCCAAGGGTGAGCCTTGCAAGCACTCCCCACTGTTCTGTGTCACTAAGCAATGGCCCTACAGTTTTCTTAGTATTTCTTTTGTTCCCAGTATTCTTACCATAGCCTTTCTCTCTGTCCTTATCAGCCTTTGCTAGTTTTGACTTGAGCTGAGTTTTGGTTTTCTGAACTCTTTCTTGTATGCAAAGGCAACATTTCTTTATACCTTCCAGGTAATCTGTCTGTGCTTCCTTTTTTTTGGTTTGAGCTCAGTCAGGAGTTCTGTGCTCATCCTAGGTGAGAAAAGTGGCAGATGGCTGGCAGGAGGAATGCCACACACCTTCCTCTACAGTGCCTTTGGCGCAATTATGCTACACCAAACAGATGAAGTAGTGGGTTTTTTTAAAGCACTATGTCTTAACTTTTTAAAAATTCACTACTCTTATGTATGTACATTGGTACTTTAGTCCATAAAATTAAACAGATACTTATTTTTAGGAGTACATAAGTATCTTCACTGAGCTAGAAGCAGTTCACGTTTGTGTGTAACCGTGAAGCTGGAGGTTCTGTTCAGTAGAAAAACTTGATTATGCATGCATCTTGTAGGATGCAGTGGTGTTCTATAGAGCTGCCGTGAGACTTTGTGATGAAGTTTCCCCAGAAATACAGCTATTGGAGAGATTTATGCAAATATCATGTAGATTTCTTGAGTATTTTATAGTTAAAGAATTGGAAAACTAACTATGTTCTGGGGTGTGGATTGTTTGTTTGGTTTTAATTCTGTATCTGAAAACTGAGCCTTTTCCTGTATGTTTTTGCAAATACAGAACCAAAGAACAAAAATGGGAACTCCTGGATCAGGACGGAAGAGAACTCCAGTGAAAGACAGGTTTTCTGCAGAAGATGAAGCTCTGAGTAATATTGCCAGAGAGGTTTGTTAATTTCATATTGTCTTAAATTCAAAAATAGGGATGAAAGCAATCTCATTATCTAGGAAAAAAAAATTACGCTGTGCATTAAAAAGTGAAAAAGTATAATTAGCCAAAAATGACAATTAATGCAAACTAAGCATATTTTCGATCAAAAAAAAAAAATCACACTTACATCAATGTTATCACAATGATACGTTAATTGTATGATAAACGTATCTTCACAAGATCACACTTTAGCTTAGCAGGTATTTCTACATACAGTTATATGCTTTAAATAATTGTTAGTTAAAGATAATTGAGAAAGTCAGTTGCTGTCTCAAGTCTACAACTAAAAATAATTAACATTTATCTCATTGCTGTGTGTAGTATTCCTAAGATGGTAAGTATAATGTATCAGTGTTGAATGACTAATAGTTATTATTAAAATGTATTTGTCATGTATTCTCTTTCAAGTATCAAGAGTCACATTTCTGTCAAAATAAGCCTCATAGGTACACTATACCAGGACTTTATCAACGGAGTCACCACCTGAAAAATAGAGAGCTGGAGGTAACCAGCCAAAAATGCAATTAACAATAAGTTGATATAAAGGGGAATTTTGTCTCACTGGGTATAGGAAAGAGGCAGCTGGAATTTAGAGTCTTGCAGATGTCTGTTTGGACTTGAGTTTTTCTGGGGGGAAATGCTATGGCTTGGAAACAAAAGCCTTAGTACTGTTTGTATACAAGTGGATACACAAGCTTTGAGCTGTACATAGTACAAAGCTGTTCACTCTAGTTGATAGAAATGAGTGAAAATGCAGATTCTAATTTGCTTTGTAATGTAAGCTGTTGTATATACACTGTACACACAAAGGTATAAACGTGTGTGTATGTACATCAAATAGGTAGGTGGTAAGTCTTTGAAAATACAGCTTCTGAATGCTTTTTCAAATGTAGCCATCACAGACTGTAGGCCAAGGAAATGCTCTGTCAGCAAAAACAAGTCATTTCCATTTAATTGGCAACTTTCCAGAAAGCTGTATTCACACCAGATCTAATGAAAGTTCTTGCCCTACCAGATACATTCTTTGTGGGGCTCTTGGTCATGTACAGTCTCACTCATCAAGTTCTATTTCCCATTTTTGGGATAAACAGTTAATGAAGAACGAGGGATCTGGCTTTAAATTTCTTCAGTATATTCTCTGCATGGTTCCACTACAGTAACATCAGCTTGCAACTTAGCCTGGGGAAAAAAGGTCTCATTAGCAAGGTGTAATAAGTATTACCTTGGTTAAATTTAGAGTTGGGTTTTGTTCTCTTACTTCACATAAATTAAAAAAAAAAAATGAAGTGCTTTTCCCCCCTTAATGCTAAATTAAACTAATACTGGATCTCACAGCTAGAGCTGTCATCTTGTAGAGAAAAGTTGAATGTGTCTGTCTCAGGGATTAATGTATATTAAGTCTTCTCTCTTGTCAAAAATGAACAAGAAAACAGCTTTCTGAAAAGCTCATGAAACTTACTCAGTATTCTGATATTAATCTAAATCTGCTTGAAGAGAACTAATTTTTTTATGCTGATCAGTGAATCAATTAAGAGGTAGGCATTTCATAGTGTCTTTAACTGTTTTAAGTGTTCTAGATATTCTGTTTGATTTTTCTTAGTAGAATTATTTTTTTCCCTTTCTAATATTCTGGCATTTTTCTGGTTTTTTTGCGAGTCACCTTTTATGGCTTGTTAGGGAGAAGAGAATCAATGTGATTTAAAATAAAATGATTTGTTACCTTTACATATGTGTTCATGGCTGTGTATAGCACCATTTCTTCTTTTGTGTTACCACGTACCTGTTTCACTTCAAGAGTCTTAATTAAAAATTATAAGTCATCATGAATATTGTATTATCACAATATGTACTACTGTCAGGTTGTTAATCCCTTAGTGTGTGTAGGAGAAGCTGGCCCTCAGATCCCATGTCAGACAGCAGCTGTTGTCATTGAATTGGTAGCTATAATTCATAATATTAGTCAACTTATTCTAAAGAAAACATCTACTTTAAAGGAACAGAATGCATTTCTGTTGTTGTTCTGTCACCTGATGACTCCTCCCCACATGGGGAAGGGCAATCAGGAAAAGGAAAGGAGGTCTGTGGGTTGAAATAGAAATTGATTTAAGAAAATAATAATAAAAACTAATATTAATAACAGTATTAATATTAAGTACATTATTTATACTCTGGTAGACATGTCCCTCTTCAGCTGTTGGCCATGGAAGAAGAAAGAGGGAAGAAGGACTATCCCCAGCAAACAACCCAATTTATAATTAGTGTGACATTTATGGTATGGGATAATACTAGTTGGTCAGCCTGGGGTCAGCTTTTGGGGTCAACTACCTTGGGTTTCACCTCCCCCAGCCTCTGCAACTCTTCATCTCAAGACTACTGAAGACCTTGATTATCATATATCAGTATTAGCTGAAAACTAAAACGTGTGTCACTTTACTCCCATGAAATAGTGTTCTAGTTGCAGTTTTCCTGAACAAAAAAAAACCCTGATCCTAAAATCCTGTCCTAATAAACCAGGACAATTTCTTAAGATATAACAGCAGAGGTCAGTTAAAGAAACTTAAGTTTCATGATAATGTGTGATTTTACTATGCCATATATATTTCTTATCATTTGAGGCTGTGGAAAATTTTTCAGTTGCCATGCTGACATGGGGCATGCCAATTCTCAGTGTATGAATATACAGAGTAGATATACTTTACTGTTCTGAGGCCATTATCTCAGCAACATGGCAGGTGTTTTGTTCCTCTATTTCCTTTTCTGAAGCTATCTTTTTAGCTGATGTTACTTTAAACAGTTGAATTGAGTCCTGTGATCCAGAACTCAGATGACTTGTCAGGAAAACATTCCTAAGAGGTGTTCTAGGTATACGGGTAGCAAACAGAATATGATGAAACTCAGGATAACCTGCATGGAAAAACACTGCATAGAAGTGCCCTGGAATTTTCTTTCTGTGACTGCTCTGAAGCAGTCACAGAATGACATCAGGAATTATAAGAGTTTGTAATACCAGCCAAGACTTCTAGTGTAGTGAATGAAATGTCAAGGTTTTTTCTACCAAAAATTCAGATTTCAGAAAGCGCTAGTCTTACTCTTTCAGACTGTTGTAATTTGACAAAATTGGGATTTCCTTGTTTTATGGGACATATTGAAAATTTTGATGTCTGTTAATACCAAAAGGAAGTTATCTACTTTCTAAGAGATTCTGTGTAAAAAAAATTCTTTAGTATTGATCCAATAAATTAATTTCTATATAGTAATTTTTCTACACTGGTTGAATCTGTGATATGTCATACTGTCTTCCATTACATATTTTCATATGAGGGCAGTATCAGGAATCGAAAGATTGTGGCAGAATATGTATTAAAAAAATGGAATAAGCAGAGATGGTTTTCTAAATGACTAAGTAATAGTTAGTAATTGGCTTTTAGGTGAAAATGAGGAAAATGACCATGTCATCTGTAACAGAAAGAGAACATTGTCTTTCTACCCATATGTTTACTAAACATATGCAATAAAATAACCTAATCAAAGTGAGTACTGCTTCAAGGTGGTAGCCTAACTGCTTGAAAGCCGCCAGAACCATCATATTCTTCTACAATGAAATGCTGTTTATTCAGGTGTAAGGAAACATTACTTTTATTTTTGCATGTAGTCCTTTTTGGTACTTACTTTGGAATGAAGAGTCCCAGGACTTAGTGGTGAACAGATGGCTTTTTGTTACTCAGAACAAAGCTGATACCCAAAAAAATGCAGATATGGCACTTGGTTTAAAATCACATATATGTCCTTAGAATAGAATTTAAAAAATAAGGTATGGGTGTGTTCATATAAGAAAATAAATAAAAGATTTAGTTATTAATCTTTTATTATTTTTTTCCTATCTAAATGAAGTTTTGAGGTCCTTTTCCTCATGTTTTTTCAACCCATTGTCTTTTGTTACAAAGATCTCTGTAATCCTGTGTTCTTTTTCTTGATCACTTCTCTGAAGATTTTCCATGCAAAATTGCTGTATCTACACCTCATGGCTCCTACTTGCCCTCCAGAATTTATAACTAAGTGTTTTCTTTCCATTTTAGCAACCAGTGTAAGTGTACTGGTATGGCTCTAATAGGTTTGGATACCTCATCTCTTATTTGCTGTTGAAGCATTTCAGAAAATTCAGCTATCATGTTTCTTTATAGCAGTTGAAGTCTCCTTTAGAAACTTTTCAAGTGTCAGATTTGCTAGATCTTGGTCAGTTCACAGTTTAATTTTTACTTCAGAAAAATAGGAATTTGGTATGTTATATCACTTCTTAACAAGCTGTGCTTCGGCTAGATGATATTATATTTTGTGTCTGGTCTAAAGACTGTATAGAGAATAATGACTGATGAAACTGAAGTCAAGACTGTAGAGGCCAGTCTAGTTTTCTAAGGCTGTAATTTGTTTAATGCCAGCTGTAGAAGGCAACCTGTACTGAGTCCTAAGCTTGTATGAGCAAGTAGTAGTGATGTGTTTAGAATGCTCTTCAATTCAAATACTAATTGATTTAGAAAAGCATTATAAATTGACTGCCTGTCCTTTCACTGTTTTTTATTTAAAAAAAAATTAGTCTAGACTTCCTTTCTGTGCAGCTTCTGTAGTCCAAACTGCTTCATCTTTTCAACTCGGTTCACTAGCCAGAGCTGTTGTGGCACTGTATTTCCCTTAGCCGATATTTAAACACTTTATTTCAATGTAGCTGAAGAATGTAATCTGTGAAGAGTTTATTGGTGGAAATTTCTTTCACAATTTTTATGGGCTTTCTTCAGTAACACAACAGAGTGAATAGCAACATACAGGAAGAAAATGATATCCTTTTGAATTATGGTTATTTTTTAACTAAAGTAAATTTTGAATTTAAATTACATAGTTATCAGGATTTGTATGAGCGCTCTATTAATAACATGAGGTCTTCTCTCTAACAATTCTGCTGAGAATAAAGAATTATTTGGTATGATGACCCTTCAAATGGTAATGTCATTTTTCTTCTCTAAGGTTTGGTGAAGAAAGCTTGATAACTTTCAATGAACTTAATTTGCCAACTTCTTTGTCTTTTCAAAATTGCATATTTTTTAGAGGAATCTAGTTGCTCAAATTAATAATTTATGTAATACCAAACCATTTTTCTCTAAAAAGGTAAAACTTTTTCCCTTCAATTTCAAGTACCCATTTTATGAGAAATGCTTGTAATGTTGTCCTGTATTCTCTTAAGCATTTAGTAAGTTAGAAGAAATGGAGTTTCCCCTCTACTGTAGGAATCTGAAAGTTAGGTCTCTGGCTGTATGACTAGGAGAGAGGAGTGAAATGCAAATTGATTTCTAATGTAAATCAGCAAACAAATGAACTTTCTGTCTTTAACAGTAAAGCCTTACCGGAGTCTAAATGCTAGATGCATATACATGCTGATCAACAGACAGAACTAAACCCAGGCATACCAGCTCTTTGAGTCCTTTCTGTGCTGCATACATGTCTGTGTGAAACTTTGTGGGACAGAGCTATGGTTACAGACAACTGCAGAGTAGGGCTGCTGGTGAGAAAAAACTTCCTGTTGCATGGAAATTTCCTTGCTTTTCTTGTGTGCTGTCATCAGGAAGGAAGAAGAGTAGCTTTATGCTGCTCAAAAACAAATTACTTCGTGGCAGTCAAGAGAGCTGGCAGAGACTTGGAATGATTTCATCTGAGTATGCAAAATATATGAAAAACACCGTCTTCATGTGTCATTGACAGCTAAGACAGAACTATTTTAAGTAATAAAGCTACAGTGTGTTTGCCTTCTTTCTTGTCATTATTTGATAGATATTTTTGTACCTGCAGTTTAATCATAATTTGAAGTTAAACTCTGAGTTAAGTACCCCTTCCTTTTTCCTGAAGCATAGTAAAAGAGAGTTATTTGCAGTTGTCGTGAACTTTATAGGTTTCTAATGTTTTTTGTAAACTTATGCCATGATAGTGGCAAAAGCAGGGAAAAAAGCTATAGCCAAAGGCAAAATCCCATTGAGTTTAACATTTTAAAAAAGTTGTGTAAAATTCAATGTTCTGGGTATTAGGAGTTCTGAATTTTTGACTGCTGTTCATGAGGTTTTAATTAACATTAGATAGACAACTGGAATTTTTGGTGTAAAACTCGTCTTCAGTGGTTTATCATTTCAAGAATTTAAGAGAAAATTTTCATCAACTAATTCACACATGAAAAAATGAGTCTGTGTTTGCCTCAACTATTAACTTTATGGCAAAATTATTGGCTCATGTAATTAGTTAACTGATTAAATTTGAGGTAGTATTTTGAATCTGAAAGACAATGTGCTTCTTTTTCGGTTGAGGCTGGATAGAAAGTAGAGAAAATATATAGTTGTGTCTGTCAATAACCAGGTGTCACAAGCAGTGCAAGAGATGTAACAGCTTTCTTCTACTGAAAAGGGGGAGGGCTATCTACTGTTTGTCCTGCATGTCCTTTTTGCTGAATCTGGTATTCGTAAGTCCTTGTGCAAGCCAGTTCATTTCACTAACACAGCAGAAAACTCAGAAGACTATTTTTTGCTGTTGTTAACTTTCTGCCATGGTAGTTACTGACGCTGGCTTACAGCAGATTCTGAGTGCTGGAGCTGTGTCCAAGGAAGGTGTTGGGAGTGTAAGGGCTTGAATGGAAAAGTAGGGAATTCCGTTTTTGGTGATGGTGAATATTGAAGTTAGTTCTTGAGGAACCGTAACTTTAAATTTCTTTCTTACAGTGTGTCCAATAATCAACTTGATTTTATAATTGCTGCTTGAAGTGAGGTTTGCTTTTTGAAATAATTCCAAATGTTAGCGGAGCCTTTAAATATGACATGAACAGTAGTAGTTTAATGTCTTTATTTTGATTCTTTCTTTTTTGTTTTAATGTCTCTTTGTAGCCAAAGATTCTGCAGCTGTGTACACACCTGTTTAAATAGTATGTATAGACCTAAGTCTAGTTAAAGTCTGCAAGACATGAATTTTTAGGTTTAGTGATGGAATTTTTTCTGAACTCAGTTCTTTTATCAACATGTAATTAATTTTTGTGAGATTATTAAATTGAGTACTCCAAACCATTACACAAAAAAATGTGGTTTTAACTTCCAGTATTTTCAATTTGCCTATAGGCAGAAGCCAGGCTTGCAGCCAAACGGGCAGCCCGAGCAGAAGCAAGAGATATACGTATGAGAGAGCTGGAGCGACAGCAGAAAGAGGTACTATTGCACCAGGAATTATTGCAAACCTTTATTAAATCTCTTAATCCATTTTATTTCTGTACATTCATCAAATCTTGTGTTTTGGTGTAATGCAGTAGCGTGCCAGTATTTTCAGCATCAGGCGACTATTAGCTTCTCTCTCCCCCCCATAACATCCTCTTTACCCTTAAGTTATATATCTAAAAGGATAACTTGCTTTGTATTTACATGTGGATAGCACTTCACAAGATATTAATCTGAACATTCGTTTTAAACTTCCTTCCTAGTTATGCTCGCATTGTGGGGAAGAAAATTGCTATACAAAATAGGCTATTAGCATACTTATTTTGCTTTTCATTTGAAAGCATTTTTAATGTCATCTTAAATTCTAGCTTTACAGGCGTAATCAGATGCCTGGATGTTTTACCTTTAACAAATGCAGTAAATTCAAGGCTAGCAATCAAAATTGGAGACAGATTTATCTAAATGTTTATCTCTGGATATTTAAAGGGCTGAGGTTTTCTTATTTCTGCTTGATTTTAAATGAGCAGAAGAATGAATATAATGGCACTGTCCAGAATTCAGGTGTGCATCAAAAATTTTGCATAGAGAGGAACAGTTTCCAACTTCTAACATGAAATTTAATATTATCTGGGTATGAATTACTAGATTTGTGGCTGAGTTAGCTGGTGATTTTTGTGCTTTTATGAGAACAACTGCTTAACACATGGCAGTTTCTTTGCTTTTGTTGCTCTGCAAAATGTCTATGTAAATAAGGGTAACTGACAGCATAGCATAAATAAACATGACCATACCCAAAATGTACACTGCCTAATGTATTGGATAAACAATGATGAAAAAGTAGAGTGAGTTATTTTGCTCAATTTTGAAAGTATTTATAACATAATTAGTAACTGGACAATTTGGACATGTGACTTTGGATATGCAGTTTTTAGTCAGTTTTTTCCCATGTGGATTATATGCAGTGTTCATAATAAATGCCTATTGTCAGGATCTTTAACGCAATCCTATTAATTTTTTAAAAATAGTTACATATACAGTTGCGTGTTGTTCTATACATTTCTCCTAAAAAAAAGAAAAATTTGCATTTTTTGAGTAAAAACTAGGAACTAGATTTTCAGCAGTTTGCCTTTTTCATGGTTATTGTAGTTGATTCAGGTTTTCACATAGCATACAGAAGACAGATCATTTATTATTTTTACCATGTTTGTGTTCAAATCCATGTAAATGCTGATATTTTTGGGGGGTGGAGGCTTTGCTCTGGTAATAACAAGTACAATTTAAAAAAACATGTTTTTGCCTCAAATTCATATGCTTCTCATTATTCCATACTTTCAGTTTTCTAACTGCTGTAGGTGTCTGCTATTATACTGAGGATTATATGGCTATTAACTTGGATTTTCCCACATTTTTTATTTAGGAAACCAATTTTGTGTGGTGACTAATCTATATTGTAAATGGTTTGTTCTTGTTTTTACATTCTGTAGTTTTCTCAGCATTCATATGATAGAAAATGGGCTCATATCCAGAAATGGATGGTAGGCTAAAACCACCTGTTGCGCATGTTTTTGCTGCTTGGAGAACTAACACAGGATTTGAAAGAAGTAATTTACTAATGGTTTGCTGAGTGTTATTTCGAAGTGTTTTATTACTGAAAACAATTACATATAAACTGTGTATAGGTGTGGATATGCAGGGTACTTTATGTCAGCAAAAGACAAACTATGAAATGAGATGCTTTTCTTAAAATTAGGTGAGGTTTCTTTTCTACCATGTGCTGGCTTAAAGTTGTGAATCTAACTTTTGTTTCAGTATAGTTAATAATCTTTTCAATAGTAAATGTTTTTATTTCAGTTAATTTCTGGGGTTTAGGGTTTTTACTTTGTTTTTTCTTAGCAGACTTGCATTTATTTGTTTCCTCTTTGAGTAACATGGCAAATGCTAGCCTTTTCATTGATGATTAAGTGACTTCTATGACTTACAAAAACTATTTGTAAAAGATTTTTTAAAAGACAGAAAACCAGCAACTTATGCATCACTTGCATCCTTTTATCCCTTGCCTCTCGCTTTCAATTAATAATGATAAAATATTTGACTGTTCATTTATTTAGATTAAATTGACCAACTAGGAAGGAGAAGAGATAGTTACGCTCTGAGAAAGCTGCTGTTCAATACTTACTAATTTAGTGTAATGTTACTTTAGAGAGTTTCTTTCACAAACCTTGTGCCTTTTACAAAGGCACATGGAAGATGTGAGTTTCTTTTTGTTTGTAGGGAAGTGTTCACTGTGTGAATGTTTTGATTCAAGAAGGTTTAAGTAATACGTGCCTAGACTAACCGTAATTTCAAATAGTTAAATCTACCATGACAGTTAATCGGCACTTCTGTTGAGAAATCCTAGAACTATCACTAGAATTTTATTTGCAAAAGTTGTGCTGACTTTATATAGTCTCTTCACCTAGTTGATATTTGTCTGTATGCTGGATCTCATTAAAGAGCATCATAGGTTTCTGTTATCTGTGGTGGAATGTACATTTGAATGTAAAGGTTTCCAATCTGTGGAATACAGACTGCATTTGTGAGTAACCTCACTTGGAAACTAATGCCTCTCAGTTGAATACCACCTTTTTATGCTTGGAAGATGCAGAGGCACACCTGCTGCAGGAGATTTCTAAACAGATGTGTGTTCTTTTCCTGGATCAGGAGACCAAACCACTTTCTTAGATAAAGGATATATTTCAAACTTAAATTCTGAGAAATCAAGCTTGATAGGTACCATCACCATTACCTGCTTGTAATAGTACTGTAGTACTTACTTCATCCTTTCTGAATGTGCAGAACACTTAATGCTGGCTTTCTATTTGCTGACTGTATGTCAGGAAGAGACTTGTTGCCCTAAGTAAATCACCTACAGAAGTGTACAGGCAATTGTATCAGAAGGTGAAGTTTTGCATTACAGGAGCATATTATTAGCTGGGGGAAAGACCGGTGCTGTACTGGCAATTAAGAGGAATCTTAAATAGCAAACTGTCATCTTGCAAGCTGCAAAAGTATTATTAACAGATATTTGTCCATTTAGAACACAGGCACAAAGTATATTTAAAACTGGCAATGAACTGACTATAATGTGTTCAAAAATTCTATCACAGAATCACAGAATCTTAGGAGTTGGAAGGGACCTCGAAAGATCATCTAGTCCAACCCCCCTGCCAGAGCAGGATCACCTAAGACTAGGTCACACAGGAACGTGTCCAGGCGGGTTTTGAATGTCTCCAGAGAAGGAGACTCCACAACCTCTCTGGGCAGCCTGTTCCAGTGCTCTGTAACCCTTACAGTAAAAAAGTTCTTGCTCATGTTCACATTGAACCTCCTGTGCTCCAGCTTGCACCCATTGCCCCTTGTACTGTCATTGGCTGTCACAGAGAAGAGCCTGGCTCCTTCCTCCTGACACTCGCCCTTTACAAATTTATAAACATGAATGAGGTCACTCCTCAGTCTCCTCTTCTCCAAGCTAAAGAGACCCAGCTCCCTCCCCCACTCCTCATAAGGGAGATGCTCCACTCCCTCCATCATCTTTGTGGTTCTGCTCATCTTGTGTCTTTCAAGCAAAGCATATATATTTATACATATTTATATAGCATTAATGTTTATCTTGATCCTCAAAGTAGACACTGTGGAGAGGAATACTAAAATGTCATGAAAGGAGTCTTCCCCCTACTCCCCTCCCTTTTTGTGAATTTATTTTCTTGCAGAGTATTGACTAGGCATCTTGATAAGTCACAAGATAGTATTAAACAATTAAATGTATCCAGTGATAATGCAGAAAATAACCATGTGACCATAAGCAGTATGAAAGCCAGCTTTAGACTTTAGATACCCATCTATGATCTGGAGGCTGAGCTCTGAATTCTAAAGATAACTGGTTTACAATCTTGAGAATAGTTTGACATACTGAAAACTGTAGAAGGCAAGTTGTTTAAGGAAGGATTCCAAGTTTTGGAGCCCTGTTGTAGCCTTGAAATGGGGTAGTTTAAAATTAAGCTTATTCCTTAACATGCTTACCTACTGTAACTAAAAATTTGAGAAGCTTATGGCATGTGAAACATTTTAGTGTTTAATTTTAAATCGGTTGTGTTTTTTTCCTGCTGCTTCTCACATACTCCTTTGCATGAGCCAAAATGAACATTCCCTGATCTTTCAATGGAACAAAACATATTTAGGTGCCTTAGCTAGCTGTCCTCACCCAAATTTTATAAGTATATTATTTTCAGTGTCATTGTAGAGCAGAACCTACAGAACTTACAATTAATAGTTTGCTTAAGAAGCTTTCTTACAATAATAGAGGAGAAAATCTGAAATACGTATGAGGAATCTGGGAATGATTTACATCCCATAATGTAGTGTGTTGGCATACTTAACCAAGTGAGGTGAAATCACAGCTCTTCTGACTTGAATGAGTTCACTTGCCACAGTGGATTATTCAAAATAGTACATAGCAATAAAAGTGCTAACAGCATGTTGCTCACCTTTGCTTGCTTTTATTTTGCCTTTTTTTTTTTCTGTGAAATAACTCTACATTTCTTCTTTCTCAGGAAGATTCAGAGAGGGCCAGGTATTCTTACCGATCTAGTCAACGTTCATATTTGGTTTGTGTTCAAACTGTGTACTTTTCCATAATGGCCTTTAATAAAAAGTTTGGGTTTTGGTTTCATTTTCTTACGGAGCAGGTGATGCTTTAAGTTCTAGCAGTTTTAGAGTCAGTATTTTAAGTTGCGTATAATGTTAAAGTTCATCCAGTGTTTTATTTCCATGAATGTCACCAAGGTAGTTTATGTATATCTTTGCATCTCTGTAATCTTTGCATTTAAAAAGAATCTCAACAGTCACATTTTAATTCTTTGACTGTATTTTTACTGTAAATACTTTGTGCTGTTTTCCTCTTCCACATATATTTATTCACAATATATTTTCACTGCTGAAAATAGAGTGAGCATTTGGATACTCTTTAGAAACATAGGCAGCTCAAAAATTGATTATTTGGAATAACATATATTCAATGATAAGTTTTAAGTGTCATCCTCTACTGTTATTCCAGTCTAATGTGGTTTATTTCCTTTTTTAAAAAGCTGAGTAATTTTACTCATGTAAGCTTCCCATATTGCCAGCTACTAAGAATTAACTGACATGCCTTGAAGTGGTAAAGTATTAGAATTCTTATGTAAGTTGTCAATTGCCTTATGATTACTACTGTACATCAAATCTCGTGGTCAGATGTGAGGGCACTATTAATAACCAACAGTGGTCTAGTTTAGATAACAGTCTAATGGGGAAAAATCTCCCATTTTCCTTGTCTCTCTCTTTTATTTAAGAAAGTAAATCTTAATACTGCAGACTCAGGGTCATCCTAGGAATCAGTGTTACTTACTAAAGATTAATCATAGTGATATACAACTTGGACTTTCATTCCAAACTTGATGCTGATGGTAGTCTGCTCACAGTTGTCTTCTCTTGAAATTCCAGTATTATTGTGTTTCTGTAATATTTGTGGAAGAAAAAAAAATAGTAGTACCTTAAGATAGATTCTGAAGAAGAGTTTGCTACGATGAAAGGTTTTGTTTCTTTGAGAATGTGGGGATGTATTTATTCATTAGTGGCAAAGACTTACCTGAATGATGCAAGGTATTCCGAAGACTGCTAATAGAAGTATTTGTTCTGTTGTATAGACTCTCCTATATCCACTTTAGGTCATATACCATGCTAAAGAATGGTTTTATTGAGGGTTTTTAAACATTTACCTCTTTTCTTTAGATCTTCTTAAAATTCAGCTTGTCATTGATCTGGATATACGGTCCAGGAGAGGGACAAATTAGTAAAGTAAAAGGGTTGGTTTTGTTTATTTTGTAAGGTGGCACAAGCTGTTTCTTTGTGTGACTTAAAAAAAAAAGTCATTGCTACTTACTAAGAAGTTTGAGCAATTAAATGTAATCTTTGGTGAACTGAATTTGGTATGATATTTTCCAAGTCCTGCTGTTAGAAAAGTGTTTCCACAATTTGTCCCACAGATACTTTTACCAAATAAATTGTTTAAATCACATAGCATTGACTACTTTGCGAACAGTAAGTGGTTTACAGAAGCCGCGTGTGGCAACACTTATAAGCTCATGAGCTGGTACAGGTTTTCTCAGATCTGCTTTTCCCTTGGTTAACATACAAAGTGTGCTAAGAGAGAGATTAAGTAATTTCCCTTGACTAAAGAATAGGGCTAGAACTCAGCAGGTAACTGAGTTCATTTCTGGGATCTTACCTACAGTTTATTTGACTGCCTCAGTTCCTTTCAGTGAAGATTAGCAGTTATCATTAGAGCTTTAAAAAACTATTCATACATGTTTACAATTTCATTTCTAAGAGTTCTTTGGATGTCAGTGGGTCTCACAGAAGCAGAGCAAGTACCTCCAGAAGGAGAGATCTTGTGGTGTGTAGCCTGGAATGTGCATGCTTTGATATGTTCACATGTAATAGCGTTTTCTGTGTCTACTTACCTTAGCAGTAGTTTGGTGAAAGCATATTTCTTTAGAGAAAACAGTAATAATTGGACTGCTGCAATGATTGATGTAGTCAAACACTTTGTGACAGCAGATTTGAGGACTCAGAGAAAACTGGTAAGTGTTCTGTCTTGAAGACAACTTCAAGTTAAAAGGGAATTAGTCTCTCCAGTCTTTCTATTCTTATGTCCTCAAAAGGGAAGTAAAATAAAGTGGCAAAGGTTGTGCATCAACTTTGACAGGTACAAAGATGTTGCTAAAAGTTCTGGCAGGAAACCTTTTTTTTCCCCTCAGGTATGTTGCTATTTTAGTCCTATAGTCAGGGCTGAAATATGCAAAGAGGAATGTTACTTTTTCAGAAATGGGTATTTCTGTGTATTTTTGTGGTATTCCTAGTTTAGGCAATTTCTCAATAAATATTTAGTTGAAAGCTTAAATATTTGTTTAGTAGACTGTTAAGATGGTATTAGTTAAGTGAAGGTATAAGTTGTGCATCAACTACAGTCAGAATAGCTAAGTTATACCTGAGAAATTTTAAATTAATTGGAAAAAACAAGCTTGTTTTGAAAATTTGATTTGCATGTTAAAAAGAGATGAATGTATATATACTATCCACACATTTTGTTGTTGTTGAGTGAGAAGAAACACGGCGACATTGACTAAGTTATGATTATGAAACTCTTTTCATAAGTATTGTGAAGAGTTGCTGAGTGTGGTAGTCCATCAGTCTCTTTCCACACAGGTGGCCCTTTTATCCAACTGCTCCTCCTTTTTCACACACTTGCTCCTTCTGAAAACACCTTTATCCCTCCCTTTATCCACATGTGATTCTTCCCCTAAGCCCAGGATGCTCTTCCCCTGCATCCTGTCATGTCTTCCGTGCCTTGAGGCAACCTCCTTCACTCTGCAGGGTGCCTTGGAGAGCCATCATGATGGGTTTCACACCTCAGCAGCAAAGCTGACTGATGGCCCTCTGGGATCCTTTGCCTGTATGGTGATGAGCCTTTTATCACATAACCTAACAAACACTGTCTTAGTTTAATGCAGTCTACAGTATGAGACTTCACTCTGTTATTCAAAATCCTGTTACCAAAACCATGTGAAATATCTCACATAACATACTGCTGTCCAAAATTATCTTTTCAGGTTTTTTTTAAACTTCATGATTTTAATTTAATTTTCTTTTACTTCAGTATGACAGTGCTAAGGATAGATCTACGAGATACTCGGTCCCAGTATGTTAACACTTTGCATGTCTTTGACTGAAGACTGCTTTTGTGCTTTGTTGATACTAACTTGGTACTTGAAATTATTGATTTTAAAAAATTATTGATTTAAACAAATTTGTACTATCACACTTTCAGACCTATAATAGCAGTATGATTCTAACACTTTCCATAGAATGCATGTATAAACTTTCTCTGGAAGAAAATGTAATGAAATCTCGTATTACAGAGAGCTGTCTTACAAGTGAGCACTTCTTAGTATTTATCTGTTATTCCTAAACTTGGTAATGAAGTGACATATGTCTAATTCCATATAGAAACTTTATCTAGTGAAAAGTTAGTGGAAAAAATCTTGAGAAAAAGCAGATGGTTGGTATAAATTTACTTAAAAAATATTCTTAACATTACAAAGTGGTAGTTGAGTGCATCACATTCTTATTGGTATTACACTAAGGAAGATAGATGTGTATCTTAAGCAAAGAACAGCACCAAGTACCACAGAAGGAAATATGAAAGCAGCTTAAAAAGCTGAATTTCTTTAAACAGCAGTGTTATCTGAATAACGCAAATATACAAACACAATATAGTGCTTAAAATAGACTGATGTAAACTTTTTTAGTTTATTTATTGGTATTACATTTTTTTGTGAAATATGAACACTGGCTTAAGCCAAGTTTGTGTTAATCAGAGATAATGTTGGTTATAGTTTCACTTACCAGTTCTTTTTTACACAGTGATAGAAATATGGCCTATGATTCTAATAATGTAGTCAGAATTTTCTGTAGTGTTTCCATTGTAGGTGATTAATACCTTAAATCCTTATGTTTGACTAATCTATATTTTAAGATTGAAGATGCTATTATATAGTGGTATTAATTTTCTAAATTTTATTCTTAGAGTCATGCTTACAGTGAATCTCATAGTTCAAAGAAGAAAGCTCTTTATTCTCATAAAGACTTACTGGTTAGTTTTCTACTATAATATTTATTTTAAATATACATACTGTAAGGAATTACATACTAATACAGTTATGAATAAATTTATTAGCTTGCTGATATATGCATAAATGTTTTCAGGGGAAAAAAGTAACCTGTAGTATTGACCAAATTCTGACCTGAAGTTAAGTGTTTGAAACTGTGCTCGTGGCAGTGGAACCCATGAATGGAATCAGCTCTGTAGAAATCATGTTCTGTTGGAGGCCTCTGAAAGGCTCTTTGAAATATTTAACAGTGGCACTTCTCTGCATTAAAGTTTATTCAGTCAGGATGGAGATACTTTTTCTGTTATTTACACTTATCTCATTTAGAGATATTTTAAATGAAGATGTAAAGCAGCTTGAATTTACCATAAATCTTGATGTTAACCCAGTGAACTGCCCAGAGAAAGGCATGTGAATTATTGTGATCTTCCAAAACCTATTCTAGAAAGCCCAGTGTTTAATATATGTAAATATAGTGCCAAGAAATGAAATATTTTAGAGGGTTTTGGCACTAATGTAATAGCAGGTGAATCGGATATTGTGAGAGTTAGAGCAGCAGCAGATACCTGTGTTGAGGCAAGGCTGAAACAATTTTTTCTTTACTTATGATTATTTGTATTACAGCATTTCTTCGTACACTTTTGAGGTGCTATTCTCCTGTTTCCTCAGTTATTAAATAAATTAGTAATATGAATCTTTTCTGCCTCCTCTGGTCTATTGAGGTACAAAGTGCTGTTTTCTGAAAACAGTACTTCTTGTCACATCTTCATCTCTTTATATGCATATATCATCACATTTTTCCTCACATGTACATATATGTGCAATCTGTATAGGAAATGTAAAAAAAAACCAACAGAAATAAGGCTAAGTATAATTGCTAGTCTTTCAGCATGTGTGCTTGGTATAAAGAACAATGCTAGGGTACAGGCTAATACTGATCACAAACATCAAATCCCCTATTAAATTTTTAGGAATTTTTGTCCTGTTTCCTTAGATGCTCTAATTCAAACAGTATCTAATGAAAAAAAAGACCCAAGCAAATCATTATTAATTATTAGCAAGTTTTGTCAAATATATTTTTCATGTATTTTATGCTGCAATTGACAGGGTTTAGTTAAGCTTTTCAGAGTTTTCTTATTTATTAATGAGGAAAAAACCTCAAAATTATTTCCTCCTTTGGGTGGGCATGACATTAAAATACAGATAATGCTTATATACAGATTTTTTTATAAGTAGGCTTGGGGTCTTTTAGTGCTTGCTTCAGAAAGTTACATGGATTTTGAGTTAATCATAGGGACAATTTTTACAATGTTCTGTACAATGTTCTAAGCTTGGGAACATTTGGGCCATGTTGAGATAGAATTTTTATTTACAAGATGTACAGATGTGACCTTTTTCTCTTTTCTTTCTCCTCACCACAGAGTGGAATTTACTATGATCAAAGAAATTATAGCAGCCTTAGACATAGTAAACCAGTTTCTTCCAACCATACTCGGGTCTGTCTCCTCTTCCTATATTCTTTTTTTAATGTACATAAAATAAATATATTTGATTTTGCTTACTTATGTTGTAAAAAGAAAACTTCTCTTTCTTTCCTTCTCTAAGTTTGCAAATTATTACAGCTAATAGTAGCTACAGTTGTGTTCTGTGCTTTTATGGATTGCCTTTTATAGAATGAATGGATAACACAAGTTATTCTGTGTTCTGCATATGTGGGCTTTTAAATTTTACGTTGTTTCTATTTCATGATTACTGGATAATATAAAGAAAACAACTAGCAGCTGTGACACTTGTTTTTTCAAAGTCTTATTTTTTAAAACAATAACAAAGTCTTACAAGTGTAGCACTAATGCACTAGTGTACATCAGTGTACTAGTACCTGCAGTGATTGTCATGGTCAGGTTCAAATAAGTAGCTAGAGGAAATAGACATGTCTTTTCAAAACTAATTAATTTCTTATCGTTCTCTTCTACAAATTTGATAAAAATACTAGATTGCTGTAATTAATGTTTTAATGGTTTTCTTGGAATGTTTATCCACACTTTTCTTAGAGTTCCTGTCTATTATAGATTTAAAACTTAAGATTTCATTTTTTACAGCTTTGGGGGAATATAGAGAAATAGATTTAAAAAAAAATAATGTACACAGAAAAGGTGTTTCTGACTTTCTATTGTTCACACTACAGTCATCTTCTTTATGCAGTGATCCAGTGGCAACAACTAGGAGTTACACGGTTAGTACAATGTAAAATAATATCTTGCTTATGTTTAGATGTTTGAATAGACCACAGAAATATAATTTTGTACTTTTTTTCATAGGTGTCTCCTTCTGTAAACATTGGTTTGATAAGAAGTATCAGTTTGGTTCATAAGCACCATTTGCATGGTTGCCTTAAATTTGTATGGTATGGCCATGAGGCTTGACAGTATTACATGTGCATTTTTTCCATATTTTTAAATAAAGCTGCAGCTTGTGTGTGTGTCATTCTGTGGAGGTATTCAGTTTAATGTTTTTAACATGGTTAAATTGCCTCTTTAAAGTACTTTGGTAGTTACTGTTTTGCTGATCTTTTTACAGTCAAGTGTAAAGTCTGAGTACAACAATCATGTTGAAGAACACTGGGGTTAGAACAAGTTGATCCAAGCATACTAAATTAAATAACAACTGCATGTATAATACTAAAAAAAAAGTATTTAAAGCAATCAAACTGAGTGTTTAAATGGGAAAAATAATTGTCAGGAGATTACAGAAATCTGTGGAAAATACACTTTAAATACATTCAAAGAAGATGCCATATTTAAATTTAATAATAATGTGAAAGTGTTAAAAGGATGAAAACCTAATATTTACAAAATAAAAAGTAGCTAGAAGTTCCTTAAGAATGGCCAAGATAGCTCTACAAAATGTCATCTTAAAGACTGACATGCATGCCTGAAACTTTATGCCTTTTGCTGCATAGTAGTTCAAATCCAACTTATACTTCCATTTAGAGACACATTAAACCTATGTGGAAACTTTTCAAGTATTGTTATGTAGTATTTTTATGTAGTTAGTGAGGTCTTGTTCTATACTTGGATTGTAAACAGAGTTCATCTGCTTTTTTGGCTTTGTGCATATTCACAAGAAAACATGAGAGAAGAGTAGTGAGAGAACAAGACCATAATGACTGCTATTACATATAACTAATTTTTACCACAGATCTCTTGGTAGATAGGGGGAAGGCAGCATGAGACTATTTTTTTAAATTGTGTTTCCCAGAACTGCTTTTATTATAAATAGATATCAGCCTTGCACCTTAGAATGATAGGTTTCCATATAGGTTGGAAAAGACAAGATCAAGTCCAACTGTAACATTTTCTCCTTCAGAAAAACCTGCGTGGGTGAGCACCAAGTAAAACTGATAAATGTGTACAATATAGATTCAGTTCCCAGGGTGGATTAAAACATCTGAGGGCTTCAGAACAGTGAAAAACAAATTGCAATTTACATACTTAATTTAATTTTCTTCTGATAATAGTTAAGATTGATTTTTTTTAACTGTTTGTCTATTTTTCAAGACAGTTCTTAGTTTTATATTTAGAAATAGACATTCCTAATAGAAGGAGGAAATGCTGCTGGAAATGTAAAAAAATAAATGTTCGTCCTTTCAAAAAGTATAATGTTAAATGTAAAATGCACAGATGGGATAAGACAGAGTGCACTACAGTGCATAAGAATTACATTGTATAAAAGCATAGCATAACTATTTCTGAAACTATTATTGGTGTTTCAATCTCCCCTTCACAGGCATCTTTATGTGGTGACAGATTGCATAGCTCATATAGTTCTCGCACCGTAAGTGCTTTTAGTTGCTTCTTTCATTATCTTTGTTTCCTGGAGACAAAAATCTATGATAATTGTGAAAGTTTCCTTCATAACTTTTCTTTAGCCATCTGAATACAGTTATTCTTCAAGAGCAAGCTCAATTCGAAGTAGTCCTGCGGTGAGCATTCCTCTTGCATGATTTGCTGAATGCTTTGATACTAACATACAATGGTTTCACACTAGGGATCATTCTACTGACTCCACACAGACTCAATTCTTCAATGTCACATCAAAAAAGTCCCTTGTCAGAGATGTGATTTTTAGCAAGAAGTAAAGTTTTAGCAGTAGTGTAGAAAGTGTAGAAGCAATAAGGAATTTACTTTTGTAAACACCTTTTAAATGTTTGTCATGTGTATAATTGGAACCAGTTGTAAACTGGAGTACCACTTGATGTCATAGTTGGGCAGGCATATGAAACTTAGTACAATACGTGTGAAAAAGTCTTTTTGAGAAGAGGACTAATGCAAACTTTGTTGTATCATGCAGGAAGTAGCTAGCTGACTTTTATGGTGACCAGTATTCAAAACTGAGAGAAATCTGTTCCATCTGTATTGTTTTAAAAGGTCATTCCAAAGATGGCTTTTCGTGCTGCAAAGTGATTTTAAGTAGTTCTACTCTGTTTCTACCACATAGCAACTGACTTAATTTCACTGGTACAGCTGCTTATTTGTCATACTACCCAAAAAGTAGATCAGTGTTCTTATAATGGGTTGAATTGAAATACTCAGTCCTATTTTCATTTTTCACATATTCTTAATGTTACAGGGACTAAACAAATAAAAATAGGTTTGGCAGCAACTGGTTGCTTTTAACTAAACAGATGTCAGAGTGAATTTTTGAGGGTGTAGGAAAGAGGGCATTTTGCTATTGCTTTACAACATTCTAAAACCTAAAAGGTATTAACATCCCTCTCTAAAGTCTCTTGAACTGTGCAAATACTTGTCGCCTTAGTTTCTTTTAACATTGAGATTAATTTCTTCAAAGTATATACTTTATATGTATATAGAAAAAATACTATCAGATCTCAGTATGTATATCTGATACTAATAATGCCAAAGTACATTCACTTATGCCAGTGAATGTTTAATAGAGTTCAGACTATTTAAGGAAATTATTATGATGATAATCATGAAGCAAAAATGTTATTTATATATTAACTTTCACTTTCTACTGTTTCTATGGTTATTATTTTGGTTTCACTCTGGGTAGTGTATGGGAAGTCAGCTCAGTACTCACTGGAAGTTAAAAGAGCAAGTAGGAGAGAAGATGGAAGCAGTAGGAAGCACTGGTGAAAAACTGTATGGTGCATCTCCATCTTAAACTGTCAGTTTTGATAAATCCACTGAGAAAGATATTAAAAGTGCAAAAGGTATCGAAGGAGTAACAGTAAGGTTTATTAGACATCGACTTCTCAACAGCAAAGATAAGTTGGTTTTGAATGAAAAAGACTGCAGTGTTGTCATAGATCATATTTGTAGCCCTTGAGTTGTTCTTCTGCAGAATTCTGCTCAGCATCTTTGTACTTTGTGAATGGAAGTGAAATAAGAAAGTTTAGCCAGATTTCTGACTGAAAATTTATTTGTTGTTTAAAAAAATATTAAAAATGTAGATATAGTTACAATTGGAAAATTATTTGTCAGATAAGTAGAACATAACCTAGCAGAGCTAAAAAAAATAAATTGGTAGTTCTAAACATCTGTAATTTGAGACAGGTGTTAATCAGCAAATTGTTTTATTTGCCACATATGCATGTGACATCTCACTAGCTTTTAGCTGGAATAACATGAGGCTGCATCATTCATGTATAACACTTCTAATAAACCTACTCTTCTTGTTAAATACTGTTTAACATGCATAGTGTTTTCTCAGTTAAATATTTCACTTGAATTCCCACAGCGGTTGTAATGACTGTACTGTGGTTAGATCTATTTTGCCTTTTTTACCAGTCACGTGTAGCATTAGCATTTGTTCCTCTCCTTTTTAGGTGCCTGTCTGACATTGCTTTGGGGAGTAAGCTTGTCTTATATTGTAAGGTCTCTTAAAACTATGAATGAGGGGAAGCCCAGATCATACTTAGTAGTAGCAGTGTTGGGATTATGTTGATTTCCAAAAAGACAGCATTTGTAGAGAAAAACAGTAACTTTCATTTGTTAACTTGTAATTATATAGTCTGTTTTTATGATCTTTTTATGAAAAAAGGTAATTTTGTAGCTTGTGTTTGGCACTATATTAGTACTAAACCCTTTTGTATATCTGGTTGTGTTTTTTTTATGTTACTCCAAATAAGGAAAATGAAAAAAAAGTTGTTCATTGCTTTTAGCTGTAGATACTGTATAATGATAATAAACATGTGAAGAGAGTATTTAAAAACATGCATATGCTGATGAAAGTATTCATATCACTGTGGGACACATCTTATTCATGTAAACACATTTAAAATAGCAAAAACCTAGAAGAGTTATTAAGATTTTAAAACTGCTAAACTGTTAGAAAAGCAAGAATAAGTTGTAGTAATGGAGATTTAAGGTACAATATCCTGTTGTGGTGGGTTTTTTTAAAATAAGCTTTTGTTCATTCTGTGGTATCATCTTCATTCCTCTTTCACCCTTCTCCTTATTTTTTTTTTTGAAGTCCTCTGATTTTTCTGATCAAAGTGAAACTGCTGCTGACTATTTCAGTCGTTCCAACCGCAGAGGAAGCATTGTTTCTGATGCAGATGACGTCCAGGGCTTGAATAGTGTGAGTGTAATGCTTGTAATACTGTGGTAAATACAGCAGACTTCCTAACTATGGATTTTCTTTTCATACTCTGAAAGAGTAAATTCTGAACTGTACAAGCATTCATAGGTTTTTTGAGGGGTTGAGGCCATTTCTTTACTAAAAAAAGTCTGGAGTCTGATTTTCTTAAAACGCATGCTGCTTGATTTTAAAGAGAATTTTGCTTGTTGCTAGAAGAACATGACAAGTGTTAACACTTCACGTTTTTTGTGTGTCATAAGCTTAAGCATTTCTTAAATGTTGGGGGGTTTTCTTGTGAAAATCAACAATGTCTAGGTCATTTGTGTGTTTTTGGAATGCTACTACTTGGTTTAGTGCTAAAAATACATAATTGGTAGTGCATTTTAGTGTTCATTCATCCAGGATGAGATTTTGTGAGGATCCATTTCTGGAGCACTCATTGTTGGCTACGCTTTGGCACTGAAACCCAAGTCAATAGAGCATGTTGGAGGAAAATTATGATTGTTTTCTTGTGCATGCGTTTAGTTTGAACCTCATTTACAACAAACCTAGCTGCCGCCTTTTTATTGTTGCTATAAGTTCTAGAAGGTCTTGTTACCTCCAGTAAAAGTTGTTTAATAGTGGAAAAAAATAAGGAAATTTCTGTTCTTAGGCTTATCTTTGAAGTAACAGTTGGGGTTAGCACATGCAGTAGGAGGAGAAGCTGAGAGACCTGGGCATATTTAGTTGGGTAGAGGGGATGCTACATGGTGATCAGCAACCTTGCACTGCAGCTTAGCAGGTTGAGATGAGCCCCTGCAAGAAGCTCCGGAAGGAGGTTAGTGTTGCGCTCCCAGGTTCCAGCAAGGCTGGAGAACCTCCATCCTCAGGAGGTGGTGAGACTTGGCGAGGTAAGGCCACAGCTAACCTGGGATGCTGGCAGCAGCTCTACTTCACATGGGAGGCTGGACTAGTCGACTGCTGGAGTACCCTTACAACCATGGTTTCCGTGATTTGGCATTTAGATGATTAAATACTCTTACAGTGTGATGTTACTTGTATTGTAATAATGCGTGATATTTATTGTCTGTACGTGCTCAAATCATGACAGAAACCAATCATTTATCTAGTTTAAATTTTAGCTTTTTTTTCCCTCCCTCTCTAATAAACTTGCTTTTCTGAAATTAATGCTCTGCTAAAAGAAAACTTGGAGGCTGAGACTGTAGTTATGCTACCTTCTCAGTTGTTTCTATTGTAATAATCATTATTATGTATTAGATTCCAAAATTGCATTTTTAAGTTATTCTAAATGGATACTTCACATCAACTGCATTCTTATCATCATATACCTTTACAGCAGTGACAAATATTTGCAATTTACTGTTTAAAAAAATCATTGGAGATTGTGAATTTGCCATGGAAGTGCAATATTGCTTCTGTGGAAACTATAATAGAAGGTAAAAAAGAAAGATCTCATAAAGTAACATTTGTTTCTACTGTGCTTGTAGCAGACTTACACATTTCTTCTCCACAGTCTGGGAGAAAACTAGGTGTTTCTGGAGAAGCCAGATATTTGACATACAATACTCAGTGCATCATACTTGTTTTAGGAAATATATTAAATTAGCATGTTAATGTTTTCATTTAATCCCACCTATTTTGATTCATAGAAATGTAGAAAATGGAAATCTACAAAATGAGTTTGCAAATCAGTTTCCCAAATAAGAAATAAGGGGGTTGTAGCTCTTTTGCTTAGGCTCCAGTACATCAAATATGAACTGAAATTATTTTGTAGCTTGCTATTAATTAGTGCACTTTAGGTATGGGCTTTAACCTGAATTGGTTTTGTCTTGATGTAATTGCAGGCTTCACTAAAGAGATTGAAGGAACAAATGTGTTTTCTAATAACTAGGACGCTCAGACTGGTGTCACTGATTGTCTGAAGTGCACTTACATGAAGCTTCATTTTCACTAAGTGTTGCAGTCACTACCCTGTTGAAATTTTAAATAGTGAAATAGGTTTTGTTGTTCAGTGCTTTAATATTGCTAGTGACTTTTTAAAAACTTTTAAAACTTTAAAAGTTTCTGGCTTGTTTTTACAGGCATTCATTGATTTTGCAATTGAGGTAAAAACTACTTTTTCAGGCTGAGTATTTTTTCTGTCTTGATCTATGCTAAGTTCTGGAAATTCTTAAATTTTTTTCACCACTTCATTTTTTCATTCTTAAATATTTCTTAGTATCTTGGAACAGAGGATGGTGATTCAGTAGTCTTTCATTGTAGAAGGTGTATCGTGATAACTTCCTTTTGTCTTTCAGCTGGAAGAAAAGAGCGAAAAATCACTTTCAGAAATATTTTCAAGGGTAAGTGTGTTTAATTTAAAAATAGTTGAAAGTCAGTGTTCGTCCATAAACTTACAATTATTAAAAGTATAAATGCTACGTGGTTTTAGCAGAGAGCATTTTAGTCATTTTTAAGACCTTGCGAACATATTTTTACACTTTTTTTTAACCTACAAAAGTAATGCTTTGCATCTTTTATTTACTAATGAAATAAATTTATTTTTGGTTTATTTTTAGCAAGTATTCATTTATTATAGAATTTCTTTTGTTTAGCAGGAAAGGTTGAATTTTAACAGGTCAGGGCTATGTCATATAGTCATATGCTAGATTCCACTGAAGACTTTCTTCTGATTTGTGGGTGGTAGAAATTCTTTTTAGAAATATTTTAATTTTCTACAGTTTTTCAGCACTAACAACCTCCTTATAAAAGTCTTCTGAATAGAAGACTCAAAACTGTAGTGTTATGATAACTGATAAGTCATCAGAGAGAAACCAGCATTTCACCAAGAAATGTAAATACTGGAAAATAATAATTTGAAAATACTGTCTATAACCTAATATTAAGAAACAGTAAAACCAGGAGAGAAGTGTTCTGTGGCTGTGAAGCCATTTATAAAGGGTAATGTCAAGTATACCAGAAATGACAGTATGATTTCTGATAGTGTTTTTCCTTTAAGCCATCATCTCGCAATTCAATAAGCGCAACTCCTCTGAGTGGCAACTCATCTAGGAGAGGAAGTGGAGACACAAGCAGTTTGGTGGATCCTGATGCCTCCCTCAGTGAATTACGGGTAAACTGCATTTTTAGAAAATTTGGAACTAGTTTAAAATTGTATTTGTGGTTAGGAGAATTTTTTTCTTTGCTACAGAACTTCTGGTTAATTACTAGCAAGATAACGTTATTTTTCATCACTGTAGATTTCTGTATTTATCTTGATAATTTTATTTGTTGGGTTGATATATATTTATATATATATTAGCTTACATTAAAATAAGACTGTTTATGTCAAATTTGAAACAATTCTGTCCTATTTGAGATGTCTTTGATTTAGGGATAGATACAGAATCCTAATTTCCATAGAATTGTTGTGAATTAATTATTTCTGTGAATTATTGCAGGCTTTGGCATTTGACAGAAATGCCTGTAAACCTTTTCATGCTTTTTTTGACTATAAATTATTTCCCCAAACTTCTTATGCAGTGGTTCATTCCTATGTCCTGCAGGATATCTATGATCTTAAGGACCAGATACACGATGTAGAAGGGAGATACATGCAGGGACTTAAAGAACTAAAGGTATCAGGGCTCCTCCCAAGCATGCATTCTGTATGGGTATTTTTGGGTAATCAAGATACCACTGGTTCAACTAACTACATAAGGCTTTACTAACACATTTTACAATTTCTTTAAAGCATGTATTTAACTTTTAATGCTCAGAGAGCATCAGCTTAAAGTTGTCATGTGAGTAAATTATTAAGATATAATTTAAATGCATATGAGATGGTATATGTTCATTATTTGGTTTCTGTTTAAAATTGTATTAAACGTTCATATTTTTAGCAAGTGTTTTCTGGCAACATAATGAGAGGTTCAATTTATATTTTTCAGAGTTTTGCTAGCAAATAAATGGATATTCAAAATAATTACTGTGTACTGAATGGGGAAGAAAGAAATGGGATATAGTTATGACAAAGAACTTAAGAAATTAAGAATTAGTCTCCCAGGTTTCAGAAATTTCTATCTTATAAAGCAAAATTAAAGTAATAATTTTGAAAGATGTGCTGAAATGAATCTGGGTAGGCATATTGCTTGCAGAAGAATATTAATTTGGTTTTAATCTTTTGCCATTATTAAAGATTTTTTTTTTTAATGCTTATAGTTTGCATTCCCAGTACCTTAGTCTAAATTATAGATTGGTATTTTCAGTATTAGGCTAATGAGATTTGTTTGTATTTTCACTTGTTCAGTATGTATGCTTTTCTTTTGTAAGTTTTCACACAACTAACAGTTTGCAGTTAAAGTATGATTATTTTTCCCCCTTCTGTATTGAAGGGAAACTGAATACAGCAAATGATGTGGCTTAAATCTTTTTTCAGGATATTTGTTCTGTTGTCTTCTCCGTTACCTAATTGTGAACAGTTTCATGTAAAAGTAGAGATCTTCCTATATTTGTTCTATATCCATTTGTTCTAGACTGAATTTAGTGAATGCTGCTTGTACTGGAGCATGTAACAATGAAATGTTTAACAGCTTCCTTGAATTTCCTTGATTTAACAATGTATGAGATGGCATAGTACAGAGAAAATATGTAACTTGAGCTGTTCAGTGTAGCAAAAATATTTTCTCTTTAGAGGATAAGTAACTTTGTATCTGATAGCCATATGCTCAGGTGAAATACATAGTGTTTTAATTGTATTGCTATATGAGTATTAAAAGGACTTTAATGAGCAGTAGATTACAAGATTATTAGACGTAGCTATGATAGTACTACTTTTGAATAAAACGTGACATTGCTTCACATTTCCAGAATGGATCTAACTCTCACTTTTGCATGTTTGCCAGCATATCATGACTACTGTTCTGAATCACAACTAATGCGCTATCACTTATTGTAATCCATTACAGTTACCAAAGAGCACACTCGTGCAATAGACAGTAAGATCTTGTATGCTTGGCTTACAAAATTGAATTGCATTTTGTACTATTGTTAATACTGAATAATAGTTACTAAGTTAATTTGCCTCTCGTAGAGAGTCTTTCAGGAACTCTTTTTTCTAATTGGGAAGATATTGCCTTTTTCTCAACTTGTGCTTTAGCAGTTTTGTCTTGTGTACATTAGAAGAGTTACTAGGATCCCTGCTTTTATACCTCTTAAGAGTTTTTTTCAGTGTTTGAGTAACAGTGAATTGTAATCACACTACCTTTGTATCTCTTTAGTTGCCCATCTCTTGTCCTTCTAAGAGTGTGGTTTTTACCTGACTACAGATCTGTTGTGTGTCAGCAGAATTAACTCTAATGTGGATAGTTCTGATTTAGTTAGTTCTTCAGATCTTCTCATGTCTCAGTTTGATTCTGTTTTGTTGATTCTTTCTATATTCCCTTGTATCAACTAGAAAGGAATCCTTTTTCTTTCCTCAGAATTTTTCTTTTATACAGTTAACAGAGCACTCTCTTCGTGTCTGTTTGATTTAATCATCCTGTTCTACCCAAGCACGCTAATTTGCATAGCCCTTTGGCTTTACTGATAGAATTCTGGGTTGTATTTCTTTACAGCTTTAGGTTACGTGCAGAACTTTATTATCCAGTTTCATTCCAGCTTATTCACACTGTTTCATCTTTTGGCCTCATTCAAGCATTTCAGAAATTATTCCAAACCCATATTATTTCTCACCAAACTGGAAGACATTGGAAACTACATGGAGTTCTTGAACCATAGGGAACATGTGTAGTACTTTATACTCAAAAAGAAGGAACAGTTCCAAAGAAGCCTTAGCAATGTTTCAGGTTTTTTTTAACTAGTCAGAGACTCTTGGCCATAGCTTGTTTTCTTTTTTTTGGAAGCAATTCTTACTCTTCTGTCTCAAAATCAATTTCTTGCTCTTCACTAACTGCAGATCTTTTCCCCCCAGAAACTTGTTGATTGATGACACTTTTAATCCATTTTTTAAGCCCAAATCTAGTCTCCTCTTTAAGGCTGGAGCCCTGGAGGAGATGGCATAGAATAAGAGGCTGAGATGGCTGGATTTTATAAGTCTTGAGGGGGGTGGATGGGCAGTATCATTGCTGTTTTCAGCTGCCTAACAGGAAGCTGTCGAGAAGACAGGGCAGGCTCCTTTCCGAGGTGCAGAGTGGCAGGGCAAGATGCAAGACACAAATTGCATCCTAAGAGCAGAAAATCCAATTACACCTCAAGAAAAAGACTTCACAAGGAAGGCAGTCAAATGCTGGAACAGGTCATCCATCCAGGTTCTGCAGTCTACATCCCCGGAGATACTTAAAATGAAGTGGAGATAAGCTGAGAGCAGCCTGATTGGGGTTGGCCCTGTTTAATTAGGAGATTGGATCAGATGGCAACCAAAGATCTCTGCCAACCTAAATTACTATATGACTCCACACACCATGCTTGCAGAAACAACTGGAATATTTTCCTAGTTGTACTTTTTGTTAAAATTTGTATCTCCCCATGAAAGGACTATAGCATTCATTTTAGTCTGAGTATTTTCCTTTTTTGCTTTAAATTGAGTTACTCTTTGAAAGACTTTGGAAGGTTTACTGTCTCTGACATTTTCTTTTACCACTCTTTACAAGATTTTTCATGTTTACACCATCATAATGTTTTTTTGTGGTTTTAATATTAAGAATTACTTGAATGCACTTACATGTGTTTTTAATTTTCCAATATTTTCTTCTCTGTTAACCTGAATCTTCTTTGCTCTTTGCTATTTACTGCTTCCCAGATGATAATGGTATCTTTCTTGTATTTTCACTACTTATACTTTCTTGTCTTTTCTGATCTCTAGTCTATCAGGATATGCCTTAAGTTATTCTTTCTGAAGTTTTTAAAATACTGTAGTTCTCCAGCACAGAATTCAGTGGATGGAACAGTGAGGTTTAGATACCTCATGATAAAATTATGAAAGACAAAATATATACTTTAAGAACAACTTGCTCAAAATTGAGATTTACACTATGTAATAGCATTTGGGGGTTAGGCTTTTTTGGTTTTCTTAGGAAGCTTAGATTGTTACTACCTTTTACCTTAATATTTTAGTCCTTAGTCATACTGTCCTGTTTTCTGAAAAAAACCAAGCTTGGTGCCCTTCCTGTGCTAGTACTTCTACTGTCATAATACAAATAATTAAAAGGAAGTTTTGCTACTTACACCTTCAAGGAACAGGTTACATGAAATACTAGGGGATTTTTAGTAGGGCACAGATCTGCTTTGGAAAGGCAACAGTTCTTTATCAATTCTAAAATTAGGAGTCTGTGAAACTAAATTTTTGTATTTTTAAAAGAATGCATATTGAAATCATTGCATGCTTACAAGTGCCTGGAGTGACAGTTATTCTACTACTTGAATAGTTGACACTTATTACAGTACTGTGAAAAAAATAATAGGATAAAATAATTTTGGCAAATGTGAGAGAATTGCATAAGAGGGTATATGACAAGGCATATATGCACCTTCAGGTAGAGAATTAAGCATGCAAATCTTTACATGCTTTTTTTTAATCTTAGTAACACATAAAGACAAAATGTCTGCTTAAACAGAGAATCATTACTGAAAAAATGTGACTACCTTAAAACTTTGAATCTGAGGTAACAGAGCAGTAGTTAAATAATAAGCATTAAGTTAAAGCTACTCTTAGAAGTATTTCTGGGATCTTTTTTAGTCGTTTAATTGTCTGAGTTCTCTGTCAGATTTGTTGCCTCACTCTGAAGTGTTTTCTCATGCATGCACTGAAAACACAATAAAGCCATGATATTAATTACTTTATCACTGCAAGTGAAGTTGTGAAGTTGGCAAAGTAGAAAACACAAGTGGAATATTATCTTGTAATTTTCATACTTTTTTAATGATAACTTTTTAATGCTGTGTGTGACTAAACCTGAATAATGGAAATCGAAGTGTGACTTAGTATCTCTAAAGACATTAATATAATTCAGAAACTAAAATGTTTGCATAATTTTATTTTATAACAGATAGCACTCTTCAGCATTATGGTGATATTTTAACATTTTAACAATGCATCACAAAATTAGACTAATGTAAGCCTTTCCACTATCTATAGGATTCACTAGCTGAAGTTGAAGAGAAGTACAAGAAAGCTATGGTTTCCAATGCTCAATTAGACAATGAGAAAAACAACTTGGTTTATCAAGTGGATACTCTAAAGGATGTCATTGAGGAAAAGGAAGAACAGATAGCAGAGTTCTCTAGGGAGAATGAAGAGAAGACAAAGGTACTGATTTTTAAGACTTTTTCTAATTATAAACCATAGAAACTGGGACTTAGTAAGAACAGCTGAAAACTTTCAGATCAGTAGAAAAGTCTATTGCAGTGGCCAGAGATGTTTTGAGTATTGTGTTGGGTTTTATTTTAAAAATGAAACAAAACAAAAACCAAGTACACCCAACCCCCCCCACTCACAACTTCCAAAAAACCACCCAAACAATCCCTAAAACATTCCCTTCCCTTCCCCACCACTCCTCCCTGGAAAAAAGTTACTAATGCAATACCCTAAAGATAAAATATACACTTGAATCAAACAGGACATGTTCAGTCTTAGTTTCTTAGAAAGGGATGATCTATGTGGCACCTTTTTCTAGCAATATTTAAATAAATTCAGTATCTGAGCTTTTCTCATTTATGCCTTTATGGCATATTTTCTCTCTAAATTTTATTTAATAAAATTTCCTCTGTAGTAAGTCTCTGGAGAACTTACCTAAAGCACTGATTCTGTGATTTTTAGCCACTTGTTAGATAGAATTTCTCAAATTGTTGCCATAATTTCTTAGATAATGTTATGTGAGGTGACATTACTAACTTTTAAAAACTTTACATTGAAAATGAGTGTCAAACCCAAAATAAATAAAAATAAATCTTGAATTTATTAAATATAGGAATTGGAAAGACAGAAACACACCTGCAGCGTTCTGCAGCATATGCTGGATGAACTTAAAGAGGGCCTTCGACAGAGAGATGAATTGATAGAGGTATGTTCATACAAGATAGTGTATGATAGAACTCGTGCACATCAATATGATGTAAGATTTGAATGGGAACAGCTATCATACACAAAATGAACTTAAAAATTTTCTCACACCTTAAAGAAATTTATCTTATTTTAATGGGTAGAATTTAAGCTATCAATCTCTCAATTTTTAAAGTTTAAAATGTCTCTGCAGGGCTTTCAAATGTGTTACATCTTGTAAAATCCTTAATTCCTGTGAGAATCTTGGCTCTGTCATGCATGTTTCTTGTATCTTTCCTTCATTGTGAGGGGAGAACTAATGTTTGTATGGCCAAAATTTTTTTGCATATCTGGAAGTTCTGATGCATGGACAATACCAAATATTATACTTTGCCTTGCCCAAAAGTTTCAATTTAAGTTATTTCATATTTCTGTGAGCGTCAACCACTGAGTTTTGCAGTAGCAAGCATTTGTTTCCTTAGCAATCAAGCATAAATATAGCAATACTGGTCAGCATGTTATTGGGTCATAAACTTGTTGCTGGGTGTGTGGTGTGTGTTCTTTTGTTTTCCCCTCTCATTTTTTTGTTTTCTGCCTCTGCATTTTATTTCCAGAAACAAATCTGCCCTAAAATCCCAGTACTGTTATTGGTCTTAATTTTAAAATGGTCCACAAAGCTATATACTGTCAACAGTATGCAGGTGTCAGTTTTCCACTGATTTTAGTCCTAGCACTGTAAGTCATAGTCAATTAGTATGTCATTTTCCCACTGCCTTTTGGTTTCAGTAAAAGTTGATGATCTTTAAATGTATGGCCCAAAGTTTCTAAAAGCTATATAATACTGCATTTCATTGATCAGTTTAATTCCCCATCAAGTTCTTGTGCTCTCCAGGCAGCAGTACAGAAACTTCAGAAGACTTCTGAAAAGTCCCAGATCTGTTATGATTACTGAGAAAAGAATGTTTCAGTTACTGGAGTTGATTAGACTTACTAGCAGAAGAAAAGGAGTAAGACAAGCCTATGTAGCACCATTTTGTGGCAGATAAATGCTGTGAAACAAAAAGCTTAGCAAATTCTGGTTGTAGCTCTGTTGCTTGTCCTGCATTCTCTTTGACTTCACTGCAATGCCGGGGAGGGGGGGAGCTTTATACTTTCTTCTTTCCTTCTTGTTTGTTGTTTTGTTTTGTTTTAAAGTACGTGAACCAAGATTATACAATAGATTTTTCTGGAGTGTTTGCTTTGGTAGACTGTAGCATATGTGTTGAATAGTCACCAAACACATGTAGTCCCTTCAAAGATTTGACCATATTGACCATTTATTTGAGTAACTTCTCCATCTATTAACACTAACAGAAAACCTAGCTAAAGCTATTTAGCTTTTTGCAGAATGACATTGTCTTCCATTCCCAGATGTAAAAATAAAGTTCACTCATTAGGAGGGCAAAAAAGTTATCTCTAGCGCTAAAAATTCTTTAGTCATCTTCAAACATAGTTATATGTTTGCAGTGCAAACAGCAAAATGAAGTCTTAGATTAAAAAATAGTACAACACTTAATATGTATTGATATAGTATCAGAAAGCAGTCAGCAGCTCTATTTCACTTGCTGGATGCTTGATTCAAACTTTCTTCTTTACACTTTCAAGAAGGTTTTCTATTTCGTAAAACATTAATAAAATCACTTATTAACATAAATGTTCACTTCCAAACAGGGCTTGAAGGTATCTGGAAACTATCACATGGTAGTTTTCCTAAAGAAAGGACATTATCCCCAGTCTGCAATGGGAAATGTTACTAAAGAAAAGTAGCACTAGCTGTGCTAAATTCTTCCATCAACATTAAGCGATTGAATAAAATTGATTACCATTCCCTTGCATGAATTCATAAGGGAAATATGACAGTACACTTAGTCATGCCCTTTTCCTTAAACTTCATGCTCGTAAACTCTTTGGCTGACATTTACTATTTAATTTCCTTTATCTATTTGAATGTTTGTTTGTTTTTTTTCCATTTCCTTATTTCTCTTTACTCTTTTATTATTCCCTCATACTATTTACTACAGGAGAATCAATGCATGCAGCAGAATGTAGACTCCATAACCAAAGAGATGTTTGATCTCCAGGAGACAATTAATTGGAAAGATAAAAAAATAGGGGTATGAAACAAATATGGGGGGAAAGGTATTTTTTATTTTAGAAGTAGATGGATGTCCCCCACCCCTAAGGAATGCTGTGTACTCCAAAGAAATGAAGGCCATTTCCAATTTAAATATTTTAAACATTTTGCAATCTTTCTCTTCTTTAGAAAATGAGCTCTACTTCATCTTGACTTGCTTAATGGTGAATAATACTAATGAAATTTAACATAATAAACTGTTCTGCATACATTTTTATAATTTTTTACAAAACATTTTTTACCTGTATTCAGGGCTCGAAAAAGTCATTGTTACTTTATTCTTAATAAATGTAAAAATGGCCTGGGTCCATATATTGATCCATGGTGACATAGCAATAATACAACTTTAAACATATTTGAAAAAAGCCCTGTTATACTGTCTCTTTTCAGTACATATTTATTTCAGTCCATATTGCAATCCTCTCTTCCGTCATAAAATAACATTTGAACACTTTTAAAGTTTTTTCTGAACATTCTTCTGAAAGTTTTTATACTTAATTAACCATATTCTTTCCATATTCTTTTCACCTTTGTGTACTAGACTATCCCAGTTTGTGCTTTTTCTTGTGCAACTACTTTTTTCTCTTTCAAATACATTGTCAGATTTTGTACAGAGCACATTTTCCTGCCATTTTCTGTGTTCTTGTAAACACCATAACAGAACTTTTGCTAATTTGTTTTTTTTTTTACCCTCTTGGAATTGAAATATCTTTGTTCTTAAAATGTAAAAATGCTGCTGTCTTTTCTTTCTCACTTACGTTATCTAAAAACTTTTACATATTTTTCTTAGCTCACAATTTTTGAATCTTTCCCCCCAGTACTGAGTAGTTCTGCTAACTTTTACTCTATTCCCACTTCAGAAGTCTCTGAGAGGCCTTACAAAGGAGTAGTTTATAACTAGAATTATAACCCAGTTTTACAATATGTGTAAGGCTGATACTGCTTTAGTGAGAGTAAGGGAGGGAAACAGAGCAGAGAGAGCATGGGTTTCACTTTTACACCCACCCTCTTCTATCGTCCTGTTTCTACAAAGTGGTTGAAATTTGCAGTTGTGTTTGGTCTTAAATTAGATCAATTTGAGAACACTGATCTATAATTTCCAAGTTATATTCCTGAAATGTACAGCTGTCTTACTGTTCGGTGGCTCCAAATTGTACACACATTGCCAATTTTAAATTAGCAGTGATGCGTCTGAGCTCGGTATAGGTTTAATAAAGGGTTTTGGAATATTTAGAAAATATAGCCCCAGGCAAATCTGCCTGCTGCTGAGTGATCAGATTTTAATCATATTAGTATGTTAAAACATGCCTCCAGAGTTTAGTTGTCCTGATTTTTATTCCCCACCCCATGACAGAAGAATTGCAGGAATAGATTTAGTACAGAATCCATGTCATGCATCATAGCCTCTAAGCATGCAAACAATAGCAGTTTTACTAAATTTTTTTCAACAGTAAGTAATGATTATTAATCTCTTCATAGGTAGAGATATATGGTTATATCAGTTCTTTCCCCATCAAAACTTTCTCATTTTCAACACTTGCACATAGAGAGTGAGGATAGGGTGTTTTAGGAAGGTCAGCAGCATTACAGGACACTGCCAAGCACACAGAGGATCTGCATCTGCAGTGTTAATCCAGGCCTTTGTAGACTCCATAACCAAAGAGATGTTTGATCTCCAGGAGATTATCCATTATCTCAAGTGGATGAGCCTACTCCCCCCTCTGTTTCTACTGCTGCTCTTCAGAAATGGCAAAGGTGTATGTATCTTTGAAGTGGAACACAAAATGACATAATGATGTTCTTCACACTGTTCATAAATGTAGTTACTGAGTTCTAGTATGTGTTAGAAGTCATAAGATGACTTTTTCTTTCCTTAAACTATGATGTGATAGCTAATGCTTTCACAACATGTTGAATTGCCTATATTTTAAATGTTGCATTTACATACTAATAAATCAAGTACAATGGCACTTCTCATTTTTTTCTGTTGAAATTAAGAGAGTAATTTATTAAAACATTGCTGTAGTATACGGATTCTAGATAATTATTTAAATTCAGCATACTGCAATTATGTGGAGCAATTAAAATACAAAGGTATACACCTTCATTTCTTTCTTGGTATCAGTCCATTCCTAAACATTCATGCATGACACAAGGTTTAGTTGGATAATTTTCTTGGCAAGTGTGTGTACGCTTTTGCAGTTGCTGTATGGTCAGGATTATCTGTAATGCATTCAATATCTAATTTGAATGGAATGCTGGGATGCTGCCCAGTCAAGTGAAAATGTCTGATTAACTGCCAGGTAAAAGCTTCAGCATAGGTAGGCAAGTCCATCTATGTCCATACTGCGCTTTTAGCTGTGATCCTTTCTTGTGCTAAAATAGTGCTACTAGTGTTTGCTGCATTTTTTTGTCCCTCTAAAACTGGTTGTTTTGGTTTTAGTAAAGAGTGATTGTAATACTTAAACAAGGAGTAAATTAGTATTTGTAGGTGGATGACAGGCTTACATATCCAAGGTCTTTTATGAGGTAAGACTTCTATAGCCTATATAAGGTAGAGAAATTAGTTCAATGAATGTAACATTTTAGGATCTTTTGCCAGTTGAGTTCCAGCAAATGTTATTTCTGGCCACAGAGTGCCTGTATTAAGAAGACTTGCTTACTCTTTTGGCATTCAATTTAGTTTATCACAGTCTACCAAAACCAGAATTGACTAAATAGAAATCTATCATAGACTTTACTAAGACTGGCCCAGGAAGATAGTATGTCATGAGAAACATGCAGCAATGAGGCTAGATATGTGACTTATGAAAGGTAGTTGTCAGAGGTATATGTTTATGTGTGTGTGTATATATATATATATATATGTATGTATGTGTGTGTGTGTATGTGTGTATATATATATATGTATATATATTAAATGCCCCTTTTAATTTCTTTACTTTTATTGAGCTCTTTGTGTAACTTGTGGAAAATCTCTCTGCTGTCTGTTATATACTTTTTCTCTGTGCCATTCTTTTTCTTGCTATCTGCCTGAACCCAGGCCCTAGAAAGACAGAAATATTACTATGACTGCATTAAGAATGAGCGAGATGAGCTCAGAGAGGAGTTGGCTGACCTGAAGGAAACAATGAAGAGAGGAGAGGTATGTTGGTAGTAGTTGCTTTACAGTAACAGAAATCCAGGAATGGAGCATGAAATCAAGGTCAATGAGAAAGAGGAAGAATGGTTACTACTGTTGTGTAGTCTCAAAACCTGACCACAGGGTAGGACAAACAGCTCATTTTGTTGTAACTGTTTAACAAATGAACTGTTCAACTTGAAAAGCGTTGTAAAAACTTTTCTGTCCGATTATATTTTAGCACTGCACTTGTATAAGTAGGTTTTTTCTTTTTGTATTTTTAGAAACATGGATTAGTTATAATTCCAGATGGCACACCAAACGGTGATGTAAACCACGAATCAGTGGTTGGTGCAATAACAGTTGTATCACAGGAAGCTGCTCAAGTTTTGGAATCTGCAGGAGAAGGACCACTAGGTAAAAATATCCTAACATACTTTATAGAGTGTTTCAAGTCTTTGTTTGCTTTCTGTTTACAACTGGTTGGGATTTACAGCCCAGAAAGATACCTGTGATGCTTCTGGAATACACTCTTACAAAAATTTTAAGGTTGTGATTATTTATGGCTTTTTATGCTGAGTAGAAAGACAGATGTATCTTTTAGGGGGGGCGGGGGGGAAGGCATTTGCTTGGATCTTTGTAACTGAGATCTCTTGTCCAGTTTGTTTTATTGCTGTTACAAAATATCTTGCCTAAACATGTAGTCTTTGGTATTAGTATGTTTTCCATTGTGCTTTGTGAAAACAAATCTTTAAAACTTTGTATAATCAAAGAACTTCCATTATTGAAAACAATGCATTGCATATTCTTTGCCCTTGAAATATTTCTGCCTTTATTAGTTTAAAGCAAGTGCAATCTTTTGTCACATTAGAAAATAATTTATAAAAACATTCAGATAAGGACACAGACAACAGAGAGCTGCAGATTTTGTGGGCTTTTATTTTAACTTGCTTTTATGGTTAGGTTGAATGAGTTACTGTAGGCATAGTCAACCCACTGTAAAATTGTGTTAACATGCAAAGAAAAATCTCTATATGCTTACATTATACTTGTAATATATAATATATAATAGTTACATGTTTTTGTTTTGTCAGAGATTAGACTTGATATGTATTTCCGCTGTGGCTCCATCATGTAAAATACAGATATTTTAATGCTTTGTTACTGTCAGTTACAATTTCCAATGAAGCTGCTCTAATCTTGGCACAGTATTGCTTGACAGACTTTTTTTTGGTAACCATTACTGATGCTTTGACTGATCAGAGATATTAAAACATTTCTGTGGGTTGTACTCCAAGTACTTTTTTTGACGTTTGAGAACAGTTTTTACAAACTTTCTAAGCATATGGGAAGGCTTAGTGCCTTCCCTGAAGACAGCAGTCTTTAAGAATAAGACAAGGAAAGACTATAGAATCAGGAGAAAATTTTGTTGGAAATGGCTGTTCTAGATATTGGGACAAAAATGCAGTTTATTATTTTAAAAAATCCTCAGTTGTTAATTTACTTTGAAAAATGACAAATGTTTAGAGATCTTGCTTTTAAAATTGTTATAGTAATAAAGAGTGTGAATTAAATATTTTTCCTTTTTTGCTGCTGTTAACCGAAGGCTGGTATATTTTTATTAGTGAGATCCCAGTTTTTATGATCCCCATGCTTTTTTTTTATGCTATTAGCTTTAAGTTTGAAGAGCATTTTAATTTGAAAACTAACAAAATGTTATGAAAAATGTTTAGTTACAGATTTCTCTGGTTTTTAATTGTAGTTTTTGGTTTTAGATGTCCGGCTACGAAAACTGGCTGGAGAAAAGGAGGCATTATTGTCCCAGGTAAAATAAGCTATTCTTTTCAGAAAGAAACCTTTGTATATTCTTTCGCAGACTATTAATATATTAGCAAAAAACCCACAAATATTAAGCACCAAAGATGCTTAATCAAACACTTAAGCACTAAGGCAAAATCACATACTCAACTTCTTGCCTGGCTGGCTACCTGGAATTATCTGTTCCTCTTAGTGTCCTTACTCGTGTGACTTTGATCTTGAGGGTAAAGAACCCTTATTTCAGTAACTGGCTTAGCTGAAATCTAACTTGCTGCTGGCTCTACCATTAGTGCACATACTTAGTAGTTTTGTGTTGTCTTATGTGGAAATTACAGTAATATTACATTCTTATAAGATCAAGCTGCTCTTTCTTCCAGATTGCTAAGTGGTACTACTTCTTTGATAATTTCAGTTACTCAAATGGAAAATTGATATTATCAAAGCAATTATATGTTAATGAAGTTCAGTATTGTGAAGGGAGGACTCAAGAAAAGATCACCACTTAACAATTGTTAAGAATACCATAGTTTTTTTGCTTGTAGTTGAACACGTTGCAAATTTAAAACCATGGTGTCAACATTTGGTTTTGCTGGGAATTTATCTTAATTTTAGTACAGATAATTGGTTTTATAATAAACTCTAAATTATAATAAATTCTAAATAAATTCTAGTACTGAGTTAAGGCTATTAAAATACATATATAAATACATATATGTGCATTTATTGCCATATAATTATAAAATATAACTCTTGTATCATGGAATTTTGCAAGTATAACTCAGTTACCACTCATCGGTAAGGTAATATTTTGGTAAGAAAGACAAAAAAAAGTGGCTTCTACTTCTTGCAGAAATTTCACACATAGAGGACATAGCTGAGGGATCTGTTTCTTGACTACTGGAAAAATCCCAAGACAGCTACTGTAGCATAAAGTGGAACCGTTTAAGACTAATGTGCACTACAGACTTGCCTAGGACCGTTGCTTCCTGATGAAGTAAAAGAGAGGACCCCAAAAAAATCTGTAATTATTTTTTTCCGTAAACTCACAAGGATAAGTATTTAGAGTGTAAAAGGTATGCTGTAGAAGAAAGACACAAACAAGAGTTTAATGCCACCTCCTCTGGAAAAGCAGCTCTGTTAAAATTCCTGGGTGCCTCTGCACTGTGCAGAGACACCTGTGGCACTGACCAAACACGGTGGGTTTGGATTGTGCATTGGCAGGCACAGGGCACTCTCCCAGCAATAGGGGTGGGGGCTGCAGCCACAGACCTCAGGGACTGGCTTCTCTGTCTCCCCTGCACGGCTCTGCTACTCCCACTTACAGACCTGTCTCACCAGTGGCATCTCATGACTGCTCTGCCTTTGCCACATTGGATGTTTAGATAGACAGCTACTGAATCCCTGGGAGCCTCTTTTTCACAAGAGAACACTTCTTTTTTTCAGGTTAGACAACTGAAGATACAGTTGGAAGAAGAACGACAGAAATATTCTAAAAGTGATGGCATGAATCCAGATATAGGCTTAGAGAATGGTTCTGACTTGCAGCTAATTGAAATGCAAAGTAGGTATATGGCTACTATTCAAAGGTATTCTCAGTAGGGAGTGGGAACAGACTCTTCAACTTGTTTTTCTATGTTGATGTGCAATAGTATCATGAATGAATATATTGTTGAGCAGCTAGGTTTCTGGCAGTGTATCTTCTTGCAGGAAATTTCTTACTGCAGAGTAACTTAAAATCTGTCTCCTTCACTGTTGAATAACAGTGTTCTGGGAAGTGATTTTTCAGTTGGTGACCTTGCCTAGAATAGGTGCCGCTACTTCAACAATTTCATTTTTTAGATGACAGAATTTCAGCTGAGGTATTTTCTTAATATATTCTACCTGATTTTTTTATTTTGTTGGATCTTTGATACAGAAACTTATCAAGACTAAAAGACTATTATTCTCTGAAGCAAAACGTGAAAAATTAAAGTTTAATACAATATCCAGTGTTGCTTCATAGAAGCACCTAAGCTACCTTCCATTTCAAGCAAGCTATTTCTTTAGCTGAAAATTTTACTTGTTTGACAGATCATCATTTAATATGGTTGCAACAATGAACATAAACAGAACACTGAAAATGTCTGGGCTAAAATATAACACCAAAATAACTTGCAAAATTTCTTGGAGTTTGTCAGGCACATTCAAGTCTTGTGTTCTCTGTCATGCAAATGTTATTCCAGATGTATACACTAAATACTGCTGGTATTAAATCTATTGCGAGTTGACCCATTTTGCAGTATGTGGTGGTTATTCTTTTCTCTTTTTTGAGATGAGTTTAGCTGATCTAAATGTGTGTTTAAAAATGTTTCTCTCATTTATACATCTGAAACTTAATGCACACTTGTACAGAGACAGCAGTTGTGTTCTCTCAATAACAGGAAAATTATTTCCTTTTTCTTACACTAAGATGATTTGTGAAAGAACATTTACCTTCTTATAGTCCTGTATACAGACTTCTCAATAAAATGGTCTTTTAAATGAATTTTAAAAGAAACCTGCCAGTTTAGAGAATTGCTTTGAGTAATACATCCATGTTATTTTTTGTCTAGGAGATGCCAACAGACAAATTAGTGAATACAAATTTAAACTTTCGAAAGCTGAGCAAGATATAACTACATTGGAACAAAATGTAAGTGTATCTTCATATTTATTTTTATCATGAGACTTGTTCTGCAGACCATTACAATGCTTTTTTTCAACAAAAAAATATGAAAACCTATTTAATCATTTGATTTACTCTTTGTTCTGTAGTTTTAACAAAATGGCACTATATTTGTATTTTTTCCTATTTCCTGCAATTCATTAACTGTACGTAGTCTAACCGTAAGAGAAAATAATCTGGAGTTAATTTACTAAGGTATGGATGGTCTGTAAAGAGGAACGGATGTTACTATTTCAAGAAAATCCATTTATGTAGCATAATTATTTGTTAAAAAGTTATATAGACTGGAAGGTACAAAATCTACTCTCTGAAATTCAAGAGTTTGTTTATATATGTGTGTGCGTGTGTGTGTGTGTATATATATATGTATATATAAAAAATTTGTATCTCACGTAATTGGAAAGTATGAGTAAATCATTGTGAGTTACATGATATTATAGTTCAGCATCTCTGTAGATCACCTAAAATCACTTAATGGATTGGTCATATTTGGTCTCTTGCACAGCACCCCAGGGTATTAGCCTGCCCTATAGATTTGGGGGTAGCAGGGAACTATAAACATAACAATCCAGCACATGGGCTTTAACACCTGCAAATCACAACCAGGATTTGTCTTGAGGCCCCTCTTTACTGCTGAACTCTGTGCTTTAGTTTAAGGCATCTTGCATCATGTCCTAAAAAGTTAGTCTCCTTTTTATTTCACACCTTTTCTTATGGTCTCTGCTTTTCAGCTTTCTATCTTTATTTATTGTTTTCTTATCTTTTTGTCTATCTTTATCCCATGTGTTCCTCAATTCTTGATTTTTTTTAATCTTTTTTTTTTCATTTTTCCAAATCTTCTTTCTCTGCTTCTCAACTATGTCCTATGCTATGTTCCATTCTCTACAGTTTCCTATGACCCTTGCCAGATAGGGACAGTTAGTGTAGGGTATTCCAAGTTTCTGCCCACAATTTAGTTTGTTTTATTAGTTCTTTAAACACACTCTAATTAGGTCTGCTGCTAACACAGTTAAACCTCCTTTTTCCAGAGGGACATACTATGTATAATTCACAGGAGGCTTTGTGTTACAGTGGCTTTTCAGAAAGGGAAGGACAGCTGGTGGCAGGTGAGCTCAGGGTGGTACATCTGAGTAACTGTTACTTTTTTCTTGTTTGGGTTTGCAGATTGGGCGACTTGAGGGGCAGGTTGCAAGATACAAAAATGCAGCAGAAAATGCAGAAAAAGTAGAAGATGAACTCAAAGCTGAAAAGAGGAAGCTTCAGAGAGAGGTAATGGACTTGATCTCCTTTACAACTGGATGTTCCTTTCAGTCTTGAACTACTGTCTTTTGCCTTTAAGCTCTTTTTTGTAATCTTCAGTTACAGCTTGTAAGTGTTTTTTGAGGAGGCCTCAGAGTCTGTCAGTGTTGCATTCAGAAGATAACTGTAGCTCATAACAGTAATACTAAGTGCAATTCAATGTGGTACTTCCTTGAAAGGAAGGATATCAAGTTGTATTTTCTTCTAAATGTGATAATTTGTACTATTTTTAATTAATCCTTCCATAAAAAGTACTGGGGAGTCAAATGCTCCCTGTGTCAAGTGCCAGCCTGGGAAGTTTCCAGCATGCACCTCACTGTGGCTAGGAAGGATTGATCCTAGGAAGGATCAACTGAGCTGTTTACCGTGCTTGCTTCAGAGTTGCTGCATGACTAGTGTGATGCCTGCCATCCACAGGAATATATATCCATTAGCAAGTAACAATGGTGGAAAAGACTTTTACCTTTTATTTAGCATGTAATAGAAAGTTGCAGGCCCCCAGCCCTTTTGGAGGGGCTACATGTTTCCTGTTCCAGTTGCTTCCCAATTATTTTTTTCTAATAGTTGAATTACAGTTCAACTGACAACAATAATGAAAGTGTCATGACTTATGTGGCACTCTTGTAAGCAGGTAATACTTATATTTCTGTTTTAATTTTCTCTGTCAAAGCTTAAGATCAGCAGAAAGTCCAGGTAAACCTAAGTGATCATAACTTTTGCTTTCATTTTGTAGTTAAGAACAGCACTGGATAGGATAGAAGAGATGGAGATGACCAATAGCCACTTAATGAAAAGGCTGGAGAAGATGAAGGCAACTAGGACTGCGCTTTTATCTCAACAATGAAGTGGAAATGGAAAATAAAATGCACTGCTCCTTGAACAACTAGCCCCTAGCTTATTTTTAAATAAAGACTTTCATTGGCACAAACTATTTGAACACTGAGCTGTTCATTGGTGGTTAGTTTCATAAGTTACAAAAAGTATGCTGTTTAATTATGAGAATTAAATGTAGTTTGAATTTCCATGTGAATGACAGCAGTTTTTCTGTAGCATTTGATTCTAGAGTCAGAGCTGGAGCACAATGCTGTATGTTCGACTTAGTGATAGAAAATGTTTTTATAACTGTGGAAATCGAGTTTACTCACAGTCTCTATTGGCTGCTTTAATGATGCTTGATGCTCGAAGACAACTGCATGAATTCAAGACGACACTATTACTGTATTATAAACTAACAGATTTGCTCAAGACATCACACAGCACAAGTGCCTTTTATCTGGTGCAATTTAGACTTCATTGAGATAACCTTTGAAATCAGATAACATTTTATTTTAAGATACATTTGGGGTATTCACTAAACTTTATACATTTTGAAAATACATTTTTGTAAGATATTTAAATTTATAAGAAAAAAATAGACTGTATATAAAAATATGCTTTTTTGCATGAGCACATCTGAGTTCTAGGTAATTTTGTCAAATACTAGCCCCTGATACTCTTAGTATTAAGAGTGCAGGCTTAAAACCGTCTGTTGTACACCATCAAATGATGTCATCTGCTGCTTAAGTGTGAACTGAAATTTTAGTGTGGGAGAAAGGGGTGGGTGATAGGGCTAAGGAGATCATTAAATGGACACTTTACTGACCAAAACCAGATGTTTTGTGTTTTCTTGCAATACTGAGATACCAACAGGACAGCGCAAAATCTTTGCAGCAAATTCTGATCTCCGTAGTCTTAAAAAGCATCTTCTTTGGCTTTGAAATAGTGAGTTTGGGTTTTTTCTTTTTTTTTTTCCCCTGATTTCTTATCCGGGTCTGCTACTCTTTCTCAGTCTACAGTACTGCCATGGAGCAGGGGGGCAGTGCACAGAAAAAGTGCTTTCTGGAATGGTGTGGGTTTTGTCTGTAGCCTACTCTCTATGGAGCGTGAATGCTGTTAACAACTTCCACTCTTTCAAGCTGTCACACTGCAAGTGGGAAATAAGCAGCATCTGCAGTGGCAATTCTGAAGTATTTGAAGTAGTGCTGCCCCTGTGTTGGACTTTGTTTAAGGCTGGCAGGAACCCAACATACGATACAAGAGGAGCCTTTCTTTCAGCCTCATATCAGATGCTTTCCTGTTGCAAATTGCTACCCTGCAGGGATATTTCTTAAAGCAAGGCAGATTTCAGCATCCTTGCAATCCAGAGGGTTAGTGTTTCTGCTTGTACCAGAGCTGCTTTCCAAATAACAGCCATCTTTACAGTGCAAAACTAAAGCTTTGTCTTTTTCTGTTTGGATGCTAGATGCCTATTTGACTTGGAAAAGAGAATGCCAAGAAAGGTCTTTGCATGTAGCAGATCTCCATATGCCTACTCATTAAATAGAAGACAGTTGTAGTTTGGTGATCATATAGATCATTGTCTTGTGCTGTCAACTCATTGCATGCCATTGTGTACTAGCTCAGAAGAAACTATTAAGGTCTTGATTAGTTGTTAATGGTGTGTATTCTGAAGATAAACAGCTACTTTGGGGGTTTTCAGAGTGTTCACATGTGCAAAACTGCTGAAACCTTATTTGGCATATGGTGAGAAGCATCTCCTTTTGGTTCACTTCCTCTAAACTTCCTCCTGTTGGCACATCTTATGGCACATCTTATGGCACAAGGATTTCTGTGATTTCAATATTAAACCATGACAGATAAGGTGTTACTTAACTCAAAGTTACCAGCCAACTGGAAAAGTTTCTGGAGCACAGGTAAAGCATCAGTACATCCTTTCTAAAGATTAATAGTTTTTTTTAAAAGAGTTGCTTATTACAGAGTTCTCTTAGTATAGCCATTTTAGTTGTAGAGCTTCCCCAATTCTTGATAGCAGAAAATCACAACAAATTCAACAAAATACCCAGAACATGAGATTTCCAACATCTGGACTAACTGAATAATACTGGATTATGTGATCCAATATAACCCTTAAGGCAATTGAAAGAGCAAAGAGGAAACTGCCCTAGGAAGAATTAATTGCAAACCTTTCAACTTTTTCTGAAACAACTCTTACCAGGAGTAAGAATGTTCTATCAGATTCTTGTGAACTCCTGTATATGTGAGACAGAACCAAGTAAAACTAAAAAGCAGTAAATAAAACCAACGTGATTATCAAGCTTATCTCATTACTAAGTTTTCCTTACAAAACTGTTTCAGAATCATGCAATTCAACAAAAATTTTTGTAATTACAATATTATAGTTGACATTTGTTTGAAAATTACAGAGGAACTTTGTTTTTCAAGCTGTGATTTTTTTATGGTGCTATTAGTTATAATGCAAGCTAATGTTGCAAACTACTTAGAATGTATAGAAGGTCTGTGTGCTAGCAAGATACACTAAAGTTTTAAAAACAGTCCTCCAGTAAGGCTCATGCTGCTTAGTAGCTGCCTGTTCAGAGTTTGGCCCTTGACATTAAACTTTTTTGTCAAAAGCTCACTTAGCAGCACAGTGGGCTTATTGGCCACCTTTTTAACATTTTTTTTTCTCCTTAGCAGTCTAAGCAATCATATTTTGTTGGAATAACAGAATCTTGAGAAGCAAAATGCTTGCTTACTTTCGTGTGCTTGATTACTGATTTCTTCCTGGAGAGTCAGTATAATGGTGAAGTCAATAATTACTATTCTAGGAGTCTAGGTAGCAGTCATTTCCTTTCTGGTGTCATTTTTCTCAATTTCTGTGTTCAGTGTCTTCCTGTGGTCTCTTTCTGTAGTACGGAAGCAAAACCAAAGTATGTTTTGTTCTCCTATCACATAGGTAAAACATACCACAGCAGATGAGATGCTTGATCTATGTACTCTACATTAACACTGAAAATGCAGAATATTTCCCAAAGCTTCCAAGAAAAAACTTCTCTATTTTACTTCCTAGGCATAATTTGTTAGAAAAGGGTAGTCTGTAAGGGAATTTAAGACTTGCTGATGACAGCTGCATTCTGATCTTTAAGCACTGAGTCAATTGAGCTCTAAAGACAAAATGAAAAATATCATCACAAAATGTTGATATTTCTAAGGATTTTTTTCAGTATCATTTTTCTGTAATACTGAGGGTGGGTGGGAGAGAATTCTTTCAAAATATTTCTGCCTCTCTTAACAGCTCCTTGGAAGAGCTATACAAGATTACAGTGCTTTTATCTTTACTAGGGTAATGTCTACAAAATTCAATAATGCTTATCCTTCTATCCCTCACAAGAGAATAGAGATAGACGAGTGTGGTCTCACTAAAGTCCAAAGAGATCAGAAAAGTCTTTAAGCTGTGAAATAAATAGGTAGTATTGCATGACCTCAGGGAAGATGAGACTTGCTGAGAGGGCACCATCTCAGGCAACAAGTGTCTGCTCTCATGCAGATCCCCAGGCCTTGCTGTGTCCCCCTGAATATCAGCCATTTCAGCCAGGCTATTTTGTCTTCCATTTCAACATCCTGTGGCCTGCCTGCACCCTCTGGAGGTCCTGCATTGATCTTTGTTGTCCCTTCAGTGATGCCTGTACTTAGGGGGTGGTCACTAGCTGGAGAAATTTCTGCTCTGAGGAATCAGTGCAGACTAATTTAGACAAACAATAAATGAGGTTAAAAAAACCCATAGATTTAATTTAATTACATGAATCAGGTAACTTCAGAGATGCTTGGAAGGGGACAGAGAAGGTTGTTAGGGCCTCTTGCATGCAAGGTTATGCCCAATTACTGCTCACAAAAAGGTGAAAGCGGGCATAAGGATAATTGTAACATGGTGTAATACCAGTATTTTTGTCAAGGGCATGATTCTTAACACAGCAGAGTTTGTTTTGCTTGTCATTTGGGGACATCACATGCCAAAAAGCAGCCTCTGGGGTGCCTAATGGACTCGGCTTTTTCTACTAAACTCCATTGAGACGTGCGTAATGCATCTTC